CTTTATGGAGGCAGGAATAGTATCTTGAAAAATTACGTCAATATTATAAAAGGATGGTAGGAAACTGGGTGTAAGGTAAAGGGAGGTACAGTGTGTGTTCTCTCTCTCTCTCTCTCTCTCTCTCTCTCTCACACACACACACACACACACACACACACACCCCAAGCCTGCTTGTGATTTATCAGTGGTAGAAAGCAAGCCTAGGCTGTTGAAGGGGACATTTTAAGTGAATATTCTAAAATGGGGTGTCAAACCTGTCTGGTTGTCATACTTTGACACCTCTAAACATGAAAGAAGGGACGCGGGTGGCGCTGTGCGTTAAACCACTGAGCCTAGGACTTGCCGATCAGAAGGTTGGCGGTTCGAATCCCCGCGGCGGGGTGAGCGCCTGTTGCTTGGTCCCTGCTCCTGCCAACCTAGCAGTTTGAAAGCACGTCAAAGTGCAAGTAGATAAATAGGTACCGCTCTGGCGGGAAGGTGAACGGAGTTTCCGTGCACTGCTCTGGTTTGCCAGAAGCGGCTTTGTCATGCTGGCCACACGACCCGGAGGCTGTGCGCTGGCTCCCTTGGCCAGTGAAGCGAGTTGAGCGCCGCAATCCCAGAGTCAGTCACGACTGGACCTAATGGTCAGGGGTCCCTTTACTAAACATGAAAGATACTCTTCTTGATACCAGATATAAGGAGGCTGGTTATTTGTGTACGTGCTCTGTGGGTATTTACATTTCCAAGACTGAGCTGTGACATTGAAATAGGATCTGATGCTATGGATCCTGATTCAGAGTATATCCTTATTTTTGTCCATGTGACCGAAATAATTAGTTCAGTTTTAAGGGAAGAAGTGGTTTGGAGTTTGAGAGCCTGCATGATGGTGGGTCTTGAAGTGGATGTTCCCTTTCATTTTAAAGGTGTGATATGTTTGATTTTCAGCAATACAGCATATGTATGTTTGCCTAAATGCCCATACGTGGTTTAAATTGTACATGAGAACTTTAACTCTTTATAACACCAGCTGTTCCATGAACAGAAGGAACCCTTCTGTCTTTAGAATAAACTAATTCTGTGTTTTTCTCACTGTGATACACATAAGACATAAAGCAAACAGTGGGATGTTTTGTTTTTAATGTAAAGGTTATGTGTCTGGTGATGTTAACACAGAACAAAGTATGTAAGGTGGAGCTTTTTTGTTTTTACTGATTCAGGAACTAAACAAAACTCTTGCATAAAGTTCTGCAGTTTCATCATCAAGGGCCATAGTGTAAACAATGTGGGAGTTGAAAGGCAAATGATCATAAGTTTATGGGCTGCCATAGTAAGGATGACATTAGTTAGCATTGATCAAATATGCAATTGTCTTTAATCTGGGGGCATTGTGATTCTTGCAGGTTTGAAGTAAAAACTGATGTCACTATTTCACTTTAAAAATAATTAGTTGCTAGTAGGATACAATTGGTGGCTTTGTAAATAGAAAGAATAATAGCAAATTACATTGTTGGGTTAATAGTTAAATTCTGCTTTGTTTTATTAAATTATTGAAATACTGATATTCCTTTATATCATAAAAATAAGCATGTAATCTTCCTGTGAGTATGTCACAATTGCTTGACAATCTGAAGGCAGCCCTGTTAGGGAAGTTTTTAATGACTGGTGTTTTAATGTATTTTTAATCTTTTGTTGGAAGCCACCCAGAGTGGCTGGGGAATCCCATCCAGATGCGCAAGGTAGAAATAAATTATTATTATTATTATTATTATTATTACTATTATTACTACTACTACTACTACTACAATCGGGGAGCAGACCTACAGGAAGACTAAGCAAAGAGGGACTGGCTGGCCCTTTCTGGTTTTTCTCCCAGACAGCAAGACAGAGAGAGGGAGGGGGAGTTTTGCCTGCATCAGTTTGTTTGTCCTGTTACATATCTGCCTGCAGGTAAGAGAGTGTTTGTACTGATTGCAGTGAGTAGTGCTGTTTGATTGCTGGCTGAGTGCATGCAGCTAGGGTGTGGTTCTTTGTTGTTGTTGTTTAGTCGTTTAGTCGTGTCCGACTCTTCGTGACCCCATGGACCAGAGCACGCCAGGCACTCCTGTCTTCCACTGCCTCCCGCAGTTTGGTCAGACTCATGTTCGTGGCTTCGAGAACACCATCCAACCATCTCGTCCTCTGTTGTCCCCTTCTCCTTCTGCCCTCAATCTTTCCCAACATCAGGGTCTTTTCCAGGGAGTCTTCTCTTCTCATGAGGTGGCCAAAGTATTGGAGCCTAAGCTTCACGATCTGTCCTTCCAGGGAGCACTCAGGGCTGATTTCCTTAAGAATGGATGTGTTTGATCTTCTTGCAGTCCATGGGACTCTCAAGAGTCTCCTCCAGCACCATAATTCAAAAGCATCAATTCTTCGGCGATCAGCCTTCTTTATGGTTCTTAGCCTGCCTTATTGCAGCAGATTCTTGCCACATGTGGTGCGGTTGTCCCCAAATGGGTTGACATAAAAAGGAATCTCTCTCCCCTTTAGGTTATCACTGAGGGGAGGGGGTATCTCCTGTCAATCAGGATATGAAATTGTAGGCCATGCACTGTGGGAGACAGGCATGTGACTATTACCCAGGGTGAGAGCCTGGGAGAGTGGAGGTTTGGCTTGGTGGGTTCCCCCTGAGATCCAAAGAGAGAGGTGGTGAAATTACTGTCTTTCACTTAACAGTAGAATATGCCTACAGCTGGGCCTTTGTTTATTACCTGTGGCCCTAACCTCAAAGCTGTATAGTGTGGTATTGGATGGTAGTGCTAGAAGGTGTTGGGGGGGGGGAGGTAATAGGGAATTACAAAGATATTGTCCCAATTTCAGAAATGGTGTTTGGCAGGGGAAGGTATAGTTGTAGTGGAGTGGCTAACCACATTCTGGGATGGAGACCTAGGAGTTTGGTTTGTAGAGCCCTCTGGTGTGGTGGTGCTGTTATTGTATGCCAGGTCCATCACTAATAAGGCCATGTTCATCCACAACTTGATCATGGATGATCAAGGGATGACTTGGCATGCATTACCAAGACTTGGGTCATGGCCAACAACTCCTCCATTCTACTCAGCTATGCCCACCTGGGTACTCAGTACAGCACCACGATAGACCTGAGGATTGAGGAAGGTGTTGCTATTGTTCATAGAAGCACGATTTCCTTTACCAGAAGACATCTTTGAGATAGGCTTAAAGGGTATGTACTTAGTGTTGGGCCAGAGCAGGGGTCAGTAACCTTTTTCAGCCTTGGGCCGGTCCACTGTCCCTCAGACCTTGTGGGGGGCTGGACTGTATTTTGAGGGGGGGGAATGAACAAATTCCTATGCCCCACAAATAACCCAGAGATGCATTTTAAATAAAAGCACACATTCTACTCATGTAAAAACATGCTGATTCCCTGACTGTCCCCGGGCCGGATTGAGAAGGCGATTGGGCCACATCCAGCCCTCGGGCCTTAGGTTGCCTACCCCTGGGCCAGAGAGACAGACTGGGGATGTTGCTGGTCTATCAACCGGTGTGTTACCCAGTGGCATCCCAAAACAAGGTGGTCTGTGGTATGATGGTGTTGGTAGACTGCAAGACAATAGTCCTGCATAACTTTAGTATCCATTCAGAGGCTGCACTTGGACTGGCTCAGAACTTCAAGGCCTTCATGACAACCATGGAGCTGTTTCAAATACTCATTAGTCAAACTCATTGGAAAAGGCACACCCTTGATGTAGTCTTTACCCCACGTGATATGAGGGCTGAACTGGAGATAGTTTGTTTATCACATACAGCTTTATTGCGGTCTATAGACTCAAAGATAGTGGGGAGCAGTGCACTCCCTTGCAATGCATTTCACCAGCTAATGATGAAACTTGGAATAGTAGCAGCAAATTCCTCTGTTAGGGTGGTGGGCCCATTTGGATGGCCCTCCCTTAGAGATGGGTGGAAGTTGATGGCTTCCAGCAGAGAAAGCTGGTGATCCTGTTGGAGCCCTGGCCTTGCTATGAAATCACGAGATAAAACGGGTGGTTAACAGGATCATTCTCGGACCTACTTTGAACAACTAGCTGCACATTTTGAGGATAAAGTCACTCAACTTCAGAGTGACCTTGACTGTGCAGTTATTGCAGTTCCAGATGAAGTATCCAGTAGCACTGTTAGTGATGTGTTGTGGGATTGGTTTCAGCTTATGCAGTCAGATGACATGGATAAAGTGCTTGCAGCTATACGCCTGACCCCTGTGCCTTTTTGACCCCTGTCCCACCTGGCTTATTAAACCTAGTAGAGGAAGTTTGACTGCTTGGTAGAGCATGGTTAATACTTTGTTGTATATAAGGAAGTGTTGCCTTTTGCCTTAAAAGAGGCAGTGGTACAGCCTCTCCTAAAGGAACCAGCCCTGGATCCCTTGGACTGGAAAAACTATCAACCAGTTGCAAATAACCCTTTCTTGGGGAATGTAGTAGCAAGAGTTGTGGTGGGGCAGCTGCAAGCATTCTTGGATGATGGAGATTATTTAAATTCGTTTCAGTCTAGGTGCCATCTTGCTGCTGTTTCTTGATCTCTCCATGGCTTTCAGTACCATTGATTATGATATCCTCATGGACCAGCTCTATGGATTGGGAATCAGGGGCACTGTGTCACAGTGATTCTGGTCTAACCTATGGGACCAGGTCCAGAGAGTAGTACTGGGAGAATGCTTTTTGATCCCCAGGCACACTAATAGATAGATAGATAGATAGATAGATAGATAGATAGATAGATAGATAGATGAAGCTGCTGGGAGCGGTCAGAAGTTTGAGGGCAAGGTGCTTTTCATTGCACTGATGATACCTGGCTCTGTTTCTCCATAACATCTGAATCAAGAGAGGCTGTGCCTGGTGCCTGGATGCAATGGTGGTATAGATGACAAAAAATATGCTGAGCTTGTATCCTTGTAAGACAGACAATGTGAGTGAGTAGGTCCCATGTCCAGAAAATGTATTATATTTGTTACGTCACTTTTCTCACAGGGGGAACCAACGCAACTTAAATGGGAATGCACTCCTCTGAAGGAACAGGTATGCAGTTTGGGAGTGGTTCTTGATCCAGCTACCATTAGTATATTCCCTTAACAATCCCTTAACAGTTTGGGACCAGTCTACTTGCCTAACCCATATATGCACTCTTATCTCTTCAATCTGCAGAACTGGCAGTGTTAACTGGTGCCACATAATACTGATTCCACACTTAGAAAAAATTGATCTTTTAGTATGATAGCACTTACCTTTTGGAGTTCCCTCTCTATTGACATCAGGCAGACACCTTCATTATAGTCTTTTTGGCGCCTGCTTAAAAAATAAATTCTTGTTTAGGCAGGCCCATCCAGACATGTAGAAGTTACATCTTTTTCAAACTACTATTGATTTTTATAATCTTCTGAATGTTTTAAAATACCTGTTCCTAACTGTTTTCTATTTTGATGTTTCATTGTATATGTTTTTGTAAACCACTTAGAGATTTTCTTACAATCAAATGATGCATAAATTTCTTTAAATAATGGAAGTTTGAATAAAAAGAACAAGAAACTGTTCGTAAGGAATTGTTTCCAATAACTTAAAACACAAACAGATATTCAAAAATTGATGCTTATCACTACTGGTATCAAAGCCTAAGTATACGTAACAGAATAAACTCCTTTGTCCCTCACGCCTCATGTTCCCCATTCCTTGCCCCTGGGTCAAAAGTATAATTCAGCAGTTCTTCTGAGCTGAGACTTTTTTGGGACATGGGGGAGGACATTGCTTGCTACCAGGTGAGAGACAGACACAATACATTGCCATTCCATGCTACAAATAATATACTACTGCCACTTGAGCTTTTGATAATCTGTGCCAAATATTTTTCTCCTTTCTTCCCCCTTACCTTAAATTCATGAATTTGTTATGTTGGTCATGGCTTATCAATGAGAGGTCCAATTTTTAAAATATATTGCCGCTGAAGGTGCATATATTTTCCATGGACATGCCTGCTAAGTGAGTTCTGAATGTAGAGAGTAGATAATCTTTGCTTTCCATGAAGACCAAAATATATACATCAAGTTAAGCCTGGTCTATGTTTTGTTTTGCAGACAAGCAATGTTTGCTTTTGCATATAATATATTTGGAGGTCCTACATGCTCTGTATAAATCCAGTTTCTGAGCAGATCCCTACTGGGCTGGTGTTCTGTAGTGTCATTGTACCTAGAGTGATAATCAGGGGCCGGGATTCCCATCCCTAGCTTAATAGCATTGTTTGAGAGTATGGGTACTTGGTATAGGAAACTGGAGGAAGATTGAGAAGATAATCTGGGGTTCCATCAAGTGTGTATTCTTGCAGCTTGATGACTTACAATAAACAAATCAGTGTGTCTTGCAAATGCTAAAAGGCTGTTCAAAGCATTCCTATGTCATGAGAGCAAATGTATTGAAAAGGCAAATGGGAATGGTGTATACTCCCTTGTTTAGGCTCAAATGTTTTCTGAAATTTCAGTCATCCTTTTCTCCCCACCTGACCTGCTGCTTTCTGTCATGTCAGAGGATGAAGTTTTTGCTGCTGCAGCAAAAGTACCTAGAGTATCTTGAGGATGGTAAGGTTCTGGAGGCACTTCAAGTTCTGCGTTGTGAGTTGACACCACTGAAATACAACACAGAGCGCATTCACATTCTCAGTGGGTAAGTACTTAGGGTTGTAATCACATGTTTACTCAAGAGTAAATCCCATTGAACTAAATAACTTTTGACTTGAATTGCATAGGATCCTACTACCAGTTTTACACGGGTGCTAGTGTTTTCTGGGATTCCTGAAGCAGAGGCATGCCAAAAGGATATGATTCTACATTATTGAAAATATCTCAATAGTAAACTTATTATCCAAGCATTGATCCTTGCATAACCGAAATGGCATCACCCACATACAAGAGGCTGAGAGGAACGTCCATATTTGCAGAAGTGTCAAAGAAACTTATTTTCTCTAAAGGAAAGGTGAAACCCTCAAACAGCTCTCTGAGGACTGAGCATGCTCAGTCTGCACAGAATGCTAATTGATGAGGTGAAAGAAACAGAAAATGGGGGCGGGATGGGGAGCATGTCAGTAACTGTGAATAGGAGATAGGAGTATTCAGCACTGCAGTGTTTTGTTGCAGGTTCTACTAGTCTTTATTAAAGGAAACATCCACCTGGGAAAACTCCTATAGAAAGAAGACCTTCCTGGATGCCTCCTTTCAGAACTCTCACATTATTTCTAAATTAAATGTGAAATTAATATATTCTTATTAAATAGAATTGTATTTTTACTTAGTAAAAATCTTTAATCATTTGCATTCTGAGATTTTAATGTGCTTTTATCTTCACATCCTGACATTTCTCAAGGAGATTCAAGGGGAAAATGTGTGTACCAGAACACAGACTGATCAGTTGTGTAGACAGAACATCTGAACTGATCAGTTACTGATTGGTGCTGGAAGTTGAACTCCGTGGGATTTTTTCATTGATCTATATAAGGGAAGTCCTGTCAAACAGTTTTTAAAAGCAGTTTCAGGAACATGCCTTTGAATTCTCATGGCTCTGCTTCCTTCCCACCAACTGCATACTTGAGCAGCGTCTTTAATTAGATATGCTAAATTCCTTTTAAAAAATATGTATTAGAGCTTTATTAAACAGTGAAAGCAGAAGTTTAAGCCATATAGACTTAACATAAAGTCTGGTGTTAATAGCTTTTCTACTAAGGCCATCTCCCTTTTTCTTGCTCCAAAGAAGAATAAATGTGCTCTTTTGGTTGAAATGCTGTTGCAGTTGGGGAAGGTCAATATTTCCGAAATATGTAATCTCATGTGTTTCTCTTTTATATACAAACAGATATCTGATGTGTAGTCATGCAGAAGACCTGCGTGCAAAAGCAGAATGGGAAGGGAAAGGCACAACTTCTAGATCTAGACTTTTGGACAAACTCCAGAGTAAGAAAAAACTTAGTTTCCACTGGGCATACAATGTTTGCTCATCTGTTTATCTAGTACATTTCACTCTAAATCTTCCTTCCCTAACTGGGTGCCCGTCATATGTGTTGGATCCTTCCTGGCTGAGGTTGATGGGATTTGTAGGTCAAAACATAGGAAGGGTAGTAGGTTGGGGAGACCTACTTTTAAGGGGGAAATTTATGAAGGGGGAAATGCAATGGTTTAAGAATTGTTAGCTGTAATTAGGATAGCATAATTCTGCATAATGGTGACTTAAGTGTCTCATAAAATCAAAGTATAACGTACTCTGTTATTATCTGTGTTTTACTTCCATATCAGTGACACCTAATAAGATACCATGGCACTGTGTGATAGAGTTTGGGAACTGACTTGTAGTAACTAGCATTTTCTTAATAATTTTATTGGCATTTAAACAATCTTGTGTTTCTTTGCAACAGCAAAGGTTGAGTTAAGGTCAATGTGAGAGGATTTTATTAATGTCCCAAAGTTATGGGTAGTTTTTAGCTTAAATTACCGGTAAATCTGATACTGGCCAGTATGTGAATACCAGATTTCTTACATGTTGTTTCTTATAAGATTGCTCTGAATTACTCTTTAATTTTTTGAAGCTTACCTACCACCATCAGTGATGCTCCCCCCAAGGCGTCTGCAGAATTTACTGCGTCAGGCTGTGGAACTACAACGGGACCGGTGCCTCTATCACAATACCAAACTAGATAATAATCTAGATTCTGTATCACTGCTGATAGACCATGTTTGCAGTAGGTAAGAGAACTGCTTCATTTTAATGAGAATGGAAATCTCTTTTAATGTAACAACATTCCTTTAAATAATTTTTATTCTCTTATGAAGGCTTTAAAGAGCAATTTTCTTAGGCAGCTGACTTGTTAAGAATGTTGTATTTTTGCAATGTTTGGAACGTTTGTGAAAGTACTTGGTCAATTTAGAAACATGTTAACAATATGAACAGAGAAGTAGTCTTTATATAGCAGTAAATCTAAGTGTAAGGATCCTAAAATAGTCATAATAATTTCAAATCTCTGGCAGTTTTTTCAGTTTCAGAACTTAATGCTGATGGTCTTGGCTTCAGTCCTAATTGCAATCCTATGCACATCTATTCAGAAGTAAGCTCTGTTCAGTTCAGCAGGGCTTACTTAAAGACAAGTGTGCATGGGATTCAATATATTTGGTAGCTTGGACTGCCATTCTACACAGTTATTGTGTTAAATCCCACTGAACTCCGAGATTTAAGCAGACTAGTTATGCACAGGATTGCAATAATAGGTTCCGGTATCAGACTGAATGATAGCCTTTAATGACATGAGCTCAGCCCTGTGGAACACCCTGTCAATAGACACCCTTCTGTTCCAACTTTTAAATGCCTGCTGAAAACTTTTCTATTTTTCCAGGCCTATGTGGGCAATTAAGAGTACACACACCCACACCACACAATGGCCTATTGATGCTTGTTTTTAGCTTGTTATGATTTTATTGTTTGGTTTTATATTGATGTAAACTGCTGTGAAAATTTTTATGACACAGCAGTATGTATTTTTAAAAAAATAAATAACAATTTAGGATTTGTTGCTTGTCCCTAACATCCTTGGTTCTTACTTTTTAGGAATCCTTTCCCTCAATTCCTAAAAAATCACCATAAAATATTGGGTAGCAAGTCCTAACTAGCATTCAAATGCCCAGTCAGGGTTGGGGCCCTGTTTGCAATGCCATGAGCCAAAGAGCTCCTTTTAGACATATACAAGAGTTTGGTGTCAAGCAGACCCTCATGTGATATTGCAAACTGCTTTGCACCATTGGCTGTTTGACCCAAAGGCTCTTTAAATGAATGCAACTAGCTGCATGTTTATTTGGTTCATGACTGATACCTGGTATAGTCATTATGCAAATAGGAGCCAGCATGACAGCTTCAAAAACTAAGGTGCTATAGCAACAAGAAGTTTCATATTGTATATTTGTAAAATCCTACTCTAGAATCCATGCTTTATTGGGATATGTACTAGCTCAAGTAAAATGACTATGATTTTACTATATAATCCTTTCTTTGTTTGTATTTTTAGGAAACAGTTCCCATGTTACACACAGCAGATACTTACAGAACACTGTAATGAAGTGTGGTTCTGTAAATTCTCAAATGACGGCACTAAACTAGCAACAGGATCTAAGGATACAACTGTTATTATATGGCAGGTTGATCCAGTAAGTTTGTAAATTTGTGCTCCAGAATCGTTTGACACACAAGCATAAAATTTGGCACATCACTCCTTAGTCATTAAGCTTTAATTTTTAGTGCATTACTTTATTTCCTAAATGCCTTGGTGTATTTCTGTTTGCATCAGTTTTGTGTTTTAGGCTATGTTCTGCTCAGTTGTTCAACCAATACTGTGATTAGTTTCCTGGAGTGGGTTGTATTGGAAATAAAGCCTGTTTAGAATAGGAGATACCTATCTCAGCCAGTCTGTTGTAATCTTAAAGTCAGTAAGTGTCTTGCATGGTGAGACTTGTCAATGGTCTTGGATAGATGTGTTGTTCTTCCCCGTAATGTAGCTCCTTTTGTGTCTTCTGAAATTCTGCTAAAATGTCAACATTCCCTTTTTACTTTGTCTCTGCTTTTTGCACTCTGTATAACTTAATTGATGAAGCCTGTTGATGAATGGTTATTTGATTGAAATGTTGGATAGTGTTGCTGGACTCAGACTCCCATCATCTCTAACTATTGGCCATGCTGGCTGGAGCTGATGGAATTTGAGTCCATCAACATCTGAAGCAATGTTTCCCAAACGTGGGTCTCGAGCTCTTTTTGGATTACATTTCCCATCATCCCTGATGTAGTCCAAAAATAGCTGGAGACCCAAGTTTGGGAAACCCTGATCTGAAGGATTCTTCGCCACTGGACTAAATAGTAGCTCCTTCCAAAATCTGAATTACATTACCTAGACTGAAATCTATGCATACCAGACCAAGAATCCATCAGATCCTGCTTTTTGTTTTCAACAGTGACTAGTTAGGTGCCTTTAGGAAGCCCACAAGCAATGCAAGAAGATAATACCCTCTTCTGTTGTTACTTTTCAGTAATTGGTACAAAGAGGTATACCACCTCTGAATCTGAGGCTGTATATAGCCTTTGTGACTATTGATAGACAAATTAATAGAATATATATCTTTAACTCCTTTTTAAAGCTACCTAAGTTAGTGGCCACCACAATCGCTGTATTGTCACTTGCCTCTAAGTAATCATGCATAGAATGGCATTGTACAATTCCAGTCCCGATAGTCTCTGTGGGCTTGGCTACTGCCGCCTGGTCCATCTTTGGGGAGTGGGGTGCGAGCGAGCGGGGTAGCTCACCTGCCCCCCAAGCCAGCGAAGGGAGCCTCAGAAAGGTGCTCCGAGGTCCCTGCTGCTCGCGCGCAACCAGCAGGGACATTGGGGCTTGCTCAGCTGGGGGCAGGAGCCTTTCCAATGCAGCTGGTCCCAGCCTGCGAGACACTGGAATGAAAGCGACTCAGCTCCCACTGTTGACAGCTGAGGCAGTTTCTCCCCGCGCCTTGCCGGCTGGTGCCAATACAGCTTGTTTCAACACTGTGGTTTATCGCCAAACTGTGCTGTTCAGCTAGTGATACATTGCAGTGTTGAAAACCTAACATCGCCCAGCCCTAGAACATACAAAAACTAGGCAAAAATCTTTGAGGAGCAAAAGGTGCAAACAGTTATTATTCCCAAGGTTTACATTTGCTAGTCCATAGCCTTCCTTTCACTAGTACTTCTGCTTATTGCCCTAATGTCTATCTGTGTTTGAAAGTATTTTGCTTTTCATTAGTTGGTTTCCAAGAATGTTGTTAAACCAGAATGGGGAGGCGGTTCTGTGTTGCTTTGTATGGCTTCCTGTGTACCTCCTTTCTTGGTTTGCCCTGGTACAGCCTTTCCTACACTTCTGTCAAGTAGGCAGAAAATGAGTGTGTCTCTACCCTGAGGTAAGGTGGAACTGGTAAACAAGCCCTTGGTATGTTGGTTTCCTAAACTGTTTTGGGAGGAGGCAGCAAGAGATTAGGCATCGAAGACAACTGCTTAAAACTGCAGGTAGATCTCAGTAACAACCCAGATAGCCATTGTTGCAATGTTTTCTTTTTTAAAGGATACACACCAGCTAAAACTGCTCAAGACACTGGAAGGCCATGCATATGGTGTTTCCTACATTGCTTGGAGTCCAGATGACAACTACCTTGTTGCCTGTGGTCCAGATGACTGCTCTGAGCTTTGGCTCTGGAATGTACAAGTAAGGGTTATTAATATGAAGTTCGTTGATAGAGTGTCTTAATAGTGTTGTCACAGGAACCATAATTGAAGTATTGATATTATCGAAGGGGAGCCCCTGCTATTCTTGGAGATGAAAATCTGATTAAAACATGGTTATCTATATAGAGGACGCGGGTGGCGCTGTGGGTAAAAGCCTCAGCGCCTAGGGCTTGCCGATCGAAAGGTCGGCAGTTCGAATCCCCGCGGCGGGGTGCGCTCCCGTTGCTTGGTCCCAGCGCCTGCCAACCTAGCAGTTCGAAAGCACTCTCGGGTGCAAGTAGATAAATAGGGACCGCTTACTAGCGGGAAGGTAAACGGCGTTTCCGTGTGCGGCTCTGGCTCGCCAGAGCAGCGATGTCACGCTGGCCACGTGACCCGGAAGTGTCTCCGGACAGCGCTGGCCCCCGGCCTATAGAGTGAGATGGGCGCACAACCCTAGAGTCTGTCAAGACTGGCCCGTACGGGCAGGGGTACCTTTACCTTTACCTTTATCTATATAGAACAGATTATTGATTTCTATTCATTATTACCAGCAGTATTCCAATGATGTCATCAGTTACTATGTATGTGTATATATCTTATATACACACAATGTAAGGCTGTTGTCACGTTGGCTGCCGATAGAGTGTGAGCAGGGGTGGAAGCCTCCACTGTATGTATGTATGTTTATTTTAGTGTCTCTATTCTTTATTTGTCAGCTGCCCTGAATTTATGAAGCAGGTTAAAATTTTAAGTAAATGTTAGAAATTTGCTTTCTTAAGCAATTTTTTCATTGGCTTTACTTCTTCACCTTACAGACAGGGGAGCTGAGGACAAAGATGAGTCAGTCTCATGAAGATAGTTTAACAAGTGTGGCCTGGAATCCAGATGGAAAACGTTTTGTGACTGGAGGGCAGCGTGGACAGTTCTATCAGTGTGTAAGTACTGTTTTTACAATGCAAAGTGCCATCAGTTTCTTGTAGACTTTGCACTTAATGCTGTCTCTGTGGTTCTATGTTCTGTGTGGGTAGCTGTGTATATCTGTACTAGTTTATATTTTGTAAGGGTTTCTTTTCACAGTGAAAAGCCTCGCAAGTATAACCTGTTGTAGAAACCTACCATTTGGAGTTTGCTCAGTGTTTTTCTTCCTGTGAAATACTAAGCATACTTATCTGAAGCAAAAATAAAGCCTCTTTGAAAAGATCCCCTTCTTGCTCATGTGTGGTGCCATCGTTTATTAGGTTGTTGTAAGGCATAGGAAACAAGAAAGGATCCTTCTGCAAAGTAAAAAAAAAAAAGCCGAAAGAAAAAACTATGCAGGGAAAGATCTGTACCCCTGTTGTTATGCTGGACTACGTGGAGAGATTGAAACTAGTGTGTTGGAAGTCTACAGCACTGCCTAAAAAAAAAAAGTTTTTAGATGAAGATACAGTGGTACCTTGGATTTTGAATGTAATCCGTTCCAGAAGACTGTTTGAGTTCCAAAACATTTGAAAACTGAAAACTAAATACGGAGGTTACGTGGCATGTTCAACTTCTGAGGCGTGGTTCGAAAACCGAAGCATTTCGGCGTTTGAAAACCGAAATGTTTGTCAACAGAGACATTTGAAAACTGAAGTACCACTGTATATAGAAAACCAAGTTAGCGGTCAAATTGTTAAGGGGCTCTGAAGTCTGCCAGATATGGACTTGCAGGTTCACCACCTTTGTCTTGGAATATATTTTCCCTTGTGTGCAGCACATACTTACATACTGCTAACTGCTTTTATAACCCAAATTTTTCATGTTACAATTTGCTTTAAATGAAGACAACCTTTCTCATTATTTCACTGCATGCATTTCCTGTCTAGGATTTAGATGGTAATCTCCTTGACTCCTGGGAAGGAGTGAGAGTGCAATGCCTGTGGTGCTTGAGTGACGGGAAGACTGTGTTGGCATCAGACACACACCAGCGAATTCGGGGCTATAACTTTGAGGACCTTACAGACAGAAACATGTAACTACCTTTTCTTCATGTTGTGCTACATAAACAGATCATTGTACACTTTGTCAAATACTGAAACTGAGTTGAGATGCCTTAAAATTCCATATGGTGTCTTGTTCATACACCTGCTTTAAAACTAGGCTCCCCCCCCCTTTTTTTTTTTAGGCCCTAAATAGGCAAACGGTGTAGATGTGATTGGGCCTTATGTGTCTGTAAGGCACCGTATAATGAGACCAGTTAAATTGGGTAGAAATGCTAATTTTGAATACAAAGTCAGGACTCTCATCTTATGTGTTCTGTTATTTTTCAGAGTACAAGAAGATCATCCAATTATGTCTTTTACGATTTCGAAAAATGGCCGGTTAGCTTTGTTAAACGTAGCAACTCAGGTAAGTGGTCCAGTTGGCCTTTCGCTTTATTCCTTTCATACTCATAAATGAGAAGGAAAGTCCTGCCTACATTCTCCATTGCATTGCCATGGAAACTGTACAAGCACATGTTCTCACCCCCTTTCCTATCGGATTTTAAAGTCTATTCTTCTGGGAGGCAGAAGGGAAACAAGTGCCCATTAGCGCTGCATATCACAACCTCCGAATCCTCCTGGAGCCGCTTGTGTAAATGGGAAGTTGCTTGTACACACTGAATCTCTTTCCCACTTGAGCTTCATGGGGCCTTTTCTGAAGGTCCTCAATGCCAGGCAGAGGCTGTCTGGAGGTGCAGGCAATCTGCAGTAGAGTAGGCAAGAAATCTCTGTTGAGCAAGCGACCTTCTGCTCATGTAACTTTGGGGTATAAACCATTGTTGGTGCACATAAAATGGATTGCTTTTTCTGTTCTGAATTTGTTTGTGTAATGTTACATTACCTCCACCCTGCTCTTTGTTCTCAGGGAGTTCATTTATGGGACTTGCAAGACAGAGTTTTAGTGAGAAAGTACCAAGGTGTTACACAAGGTTTTTACACGATTCACTCATGTTTTGGAGGCCATAATGAAGACTTCATCGCTAGTGGCAGTGAAGGTAACTCTTGCTTTTAAGATCTGTTTCTGTGTGTTATATATATTTCAAGGATATTCTTCCTACATAGGGGAATGATGTAGTATTCTACTTAACAAGTAAGGTAAATATGCTAGCAACAATTCACACAAACATCAGAAGAGTCTTGCTGGATCAGACCAAAGGCCTATCTAATCCAATTCTCACAGTGACCAAGCTGATCCATATAAAAAGTTATTTCCATAGAAATGATTTGTTTGCTGAAAGAAGAAAAATCATCTAGTAGCACAGGAGGTTGAATGTACGAGGCTATTGTTTATGGCAACAGTTGTAGTCTTGGTAGAATGAGCATGGTGTACAGGGATACAATTTTTATTTGATGTAGACCTGTTTTTCCAAAGGTAGGTGTGCTTATGTAAATCCAGATGAGTTCTGACATCTCAAGGATAATTACTAATTACAGTGAGAGAAACAAGTTTCATATCCTGTAGCAGACCTAGCATGTTCAGTAACTTTGGCTATCGGCAACCTGACTGTCATCTTAGCGTTTTCTATTGTTGGTTCTGTGAGTGGCCTGTTTGACAGCTTTTCTAGGCATTAAGGAGCTTACTCTCTGTGAGGGTAATAGTATGGTGGTATATACAGTGTGGACAACAGTACTCCTGTCCTGTAGCTTATAGAAACTTTAGGAGAAGGTGGTTTTGGTCTGAATAGGAGGTCATTTCTAGTTGGGCTCTGCAATAAAGTATTTTGAAACAGTGTTTCTTCTTTACCACTAACTGGTGAATTTTTCACCTGAGAACAGCCTGTTTATTGATGCCTTGTATCTTAACTGTATTGCCATTGTATGTAGTTGTGCCACTCCTATTGCATGCATTAATCCCCTTCCCCTTCCAGATAATTTCTGGCCCCAGGAATGTCTAATCAACTGTATTAACTCCCTGGTGTATCAGTTTTTCAGTACACCACACAGGATTGCATAAACAAATCACTTAGTTACAGCCTATTGTTTGTTTGACATGAATGTGAATTTAATTTATCCAGGTCAACTTAGAAAAGCTTTTTATTTTTTTCATTTTCAGTGTCTAAAAACTACCCAGCTGTAGTTGAAGCTGATGGCACCTAATTTAGATTCCGACTGCCTGAGGCTGTTGCCTCTTTGCACTGAATTGTTGCAAATATGGCTGCTGTGAAAGTCTCTATGTACAAAAAAAGTAACAGATTTAAATGTCATAAGCTCTTAAGTGTAAAGGTATGTTCTCAGCTAGGTAGGCTTTCCACCTACCAGCCCCAAACATCAAAGGGTCTTCCTTGGGAGTAAAAATCACGTCTAACTCGTGTGCACATAAACATCCATAAAGTAGAGGGGAAAATATCTTTCTGTGAGTAAGTGCTGTGTGTTGCAGCCTTACGGTGAATGTGGGATGACTTGAAGCTTATACAGTATAGTTTGAAATTGGTAGGTTAAAAATGGAAATGCGTACAAGTAGGAGTCTTTGATACCATTTAGATGCCATGGTAATTTGATTTTTTTAATGATACAGACAGCACTTCTATAAAATACTTTAGCAATACTTTAGGTCACAGCATGATTATAGGGGTTGGGAAATAAGTGAGTACTTTTGGAAATGGACTGTCATATTTTAGTTTTCAGACATTGTAGTTTAACTTCTAAAACTTTTAAAATAACTCTTGTACTACCAGTTGTTCTTCATGTAATTGCTTCTGCCTTACCAAGTATTTAACTCCAAGTCAAGTTTGCTTCTATGGAATATTAATATTTAGCAGAAATCTCTCTTTTTGGTAGCCATTGTGACTTGTGGTTCTTCAGTAGTGCAGAGAGTTGTACATCTGATCTGCAGCCATCTCTCTAGAATCTACAATTTAGATGGGTGCAGTCAGTACAGGAATCGGTGCAAGAATCGCACAAAGTTGTCTCATGTCACATTGCTACTGTTCAGATTTGTACACTTTTTATGTGGATATGTTGTTCTATAACAACACAACCATGGATGTTTGGAGCCTTTGAAATGGAGTTTGTTGCCTCCACTGATAGAATTGTTCGGATAGGATAAGATACTTAAAGGCAACTCTGTGGCTGTTGCTCCTCCCTCTCCCTTACCTGTACATTTGGAAAGATGAAGATGGGCCCTGCAGTTTGCCCACTTCCTTCTCTGTTCTTAGGCAAAAGTTAATCAGTGAATAAAGAGTTTCCTGCAGTTAATTGAATACAGAATTTTCATAGCCCTACATATTGAACCGGTTACAGAAAGGGATTTTAATATCCAGTTTTAGATGGGATCCCACACTGAAATAGCTGTGTTCTTTTTGGAAGTTGCCCATACCACCTGTAGAGGTGGAGGGGGGGGACAGAAAGAATATGGAGGAAGTGTGGGAGACCAGAGCTTGATTCCAGTCTTGATGCATGTAGAAGTCTAGGGTAAGGAGTTAACACCCAAACCACTCGCATTCTTACTTGGATAATATGAAGCCTACTTAAAGCTGTATTATGTTCCAGTTACCTACAAATATTTTCAACTTGCAGAGAAGATCAGTGCTTGTTGTTAGTTTAAATACAGGATTCTAAATGCCATAAAAGAAGCTTCTTGAAGCTGTTGGATGCATTACTGAGCAGATATCAGTTCTTGGACATAACATGGAAACAGTTAATACATGGATAAGTGCCGGAACATGTTTTAAATTTTGGGATGCTTCATGTTTCTTCCCTCCTGTCTCATCTTAGATCACAAAGTATATATTTGGCACAAACGTAGCGAGCTGCCAATTGCGGAGCTGACGGGGCACACGCGCACAGTCAACTGTGTGAGCTGGAACCCACAAATTCCATCCATGATGGCCAGCGCCTCTGACGATGGCACTGTTAGAATATGGGGACCAGCACCTTTTGTAGACAACCAGGATATTGAAGGTAAATCAAATCTAATTTTTATGGAAGAGGAATTTACATAATACATACTGTGTATTAGTCCCTCCTTTTGAAGAGTCTGCTACCTTGGGAAACTCCAAAAAGTTCAGAACAGGGTGGTAGTACCTGTTGGCTTGAACTATAACCTCTCACAAGATGCCTAAGGACTGGGAAGAAGTTAAGGGACAAGGAGCACAAAGACAAGAATGATAAGTGAGGTGCAATATAGCCCAGGGAACCAAGAAAGAAACCTCAAGGAAGAGTAGGTAGAGAATGAGACTTGAGAGTAAATGACAGAGGAGATAAGTTACTGAAGTATGGTGTGGAGTTTCTGCATTTTATCTGTAAGCTGCTTTGAGTACAGGTCTGGAAAAAATGTGGGATATTACTACTACTACTACTAATAATAATAATAACATTGGGTCACACACATAATGAATTTTATTATCTCCTCTCCCTGTGCCCCCTAAAAAGTCTCTTGAGAGTCAAAGGAAGCAACTTGAACAATATGGATTGCAGCGTTAGTGGAACGGCTGCACAGAGAGGCAGGGGATTGCCAAAAATCAGATGGAGACACCGTGTGTGAACCGTTAGAAGCTGCAGCAAGCTATTTTAATGTTACTGAACCTGGTAGTTAATTTTTTTTTAGTTGGCATGAAATGAAAAGAAATCTGGACCCTAGCAAACTAGAATAAAGATCAATTGAAACTGATGATGTAGCTGTTTCTTTGCTTTGAAATGAAAGGGTATCTTGCTCATTTTGTTAATTGAAGCTGTATCTGTTACATGAGGAGAGAGCTTCAATAGCTGAGACAAACCTGAGCTTCAATTCTTGACTGCTTCTTAGGTATCACCTGGAACCTTTTACTGCCAGTGGTTCTGCAGGTTTTGAATTAATTCCAGTTGATATCTCTGAAATGCAAAAGTCCTATCTGGGTATTAGTCCAAGCCAGGACTTAATTTTTCCATTGCTCTGTCAAGATGCCCTTCTTTTGCAAAGCTGGTGCAGCATAAAAAGAGATACCATCATATGTGAAAACTAGACTGTAGTAAACAAGTTCTTAGCAAACAGGCTTTTGTTAGATGTATACACTTTCTAATATGCAAGGCTGTAGGAGTTTTTGTGTCTATAGGTGTAAGCCAATACATTGCACCATGGTGTGAGCAAAAACAATGTTATTTTCTTAACAATGTATCAAAATTTTAATTGGGCTTCCAGTCTGCAAAACATTTTCCATTCTTTTAGAAATGCTTGCTTTATTCTGCTTTAGAATTTCCTGAAGTTGCTTGCAAAGTAATCTTAGGGAAAATTAAAGCCCCATGTACCAGTTTTTATTCCTTCCATCTCAATATCTAAAATGGGTTTTACGAGAGCCAGTGTGGTGTAGTGGTTAAGAGCGGTAGACTCCTAATCTGGGGAACCGGGTTCACGTCTCCGCTCCTCCACATGCAGCTGCTGGGTGACCTTGGGCCAGTCACACTTCTTTGAAGTCTCTCAGCCCCACTCACCTCACAGAGTGTTTGTTGTGGGGGAGGAAGGGAAAGGAGAATGTTAGCCGCTTTGAGACTCCTTAAAGGGAGTGAAAGGCGGGATATCAAACCCAAACTCTTCTTCTACTACTACAACTTTTCTCAACCTCTTAATTACTTTATCACACTGTTAAATGTGGGTTCTGGCAGCTGTCTGCTCCTGCAGGGGAGGTTTCAACTCAATCAAGGAAGTCTCTTTTGCACGAAAAGCCCCTCTTCCCACTGGCCCGGTATTAGAAATGACTTCTGTACCTCCCAAAGTGAAGCAAGCTGTTTAAAACCCCCTGCTGGACTCTCAGAACTAGTACGATGGCGATTGTAGCTGCTCAGTTGGGTTGGGTTGCTCTAAAAGAGTTTGTGTGTATGTCTTTTGTAAATCTGAAGATACATATGTATATCATGGCTAAGGTGAACTATGATTTTAAAGATATTTCTTATTTTTTCTTTTCTTTTTACATTCCATCTCCCTCTCCCCCCCTTAGAGGAATGCAGTAGCATGGATAGTTGATGGTGAATTTGGAGCAGACGACTTCTGTTTAACTTAAATTTAGTCGTATTTTAAATGGCTTGGGATTTGGTGCAAACAAACATGATTGATAGCTGGACAGACATGCTCGTCATGAAAAAAAAGAACCATTTCTGAAGCCCAACTGGGGCCAAACATTTTACCACCTTGCTTCATAGTAAACAGTTGAGATGAAGCACGTCGTTAGAACGTTGTTGGACACCATGTTGAAGTAACCCCCCATCGGTTGTGAAGAACTGTGCTACATTCAGGCTAACCATTGAACTCCGTATATACATTTTCCCTTCTGCCATTTTGTCAGGCAGACTACTGTTATTGTTGCTCTTCTTCTGTGTAATGAAGTTTAAATGCTTGTTTGGAAACCTTTTATTTAACAGTTTAGAAGGCTTGATAGAAAGAGTGCTTTAGTCTGAAGAGTACATGTTGGATAGGAAAGTCTTTCCTTCTCTTCTTTCTCTGAGTCTCTCCGCCTTATTTAGCTTGAGATCTTTGCAGCTTGGTTCATGGATTCTAAGCCTTGCCCGTTGCACAGTATATCTAAACCCAGATGTTTAAACCAGTGAATGACATGAAAAGCACTCTTCAGTATCACACTTGACAAAAGGTTTTGTACTTTTCACCTAGCTTGTTGCCCTGTAAGTGGGTTAACAGCACAATCTTCTTTTTTAAGAAAGAAAAATAAATAATTTATAGCATTAAAATAACTTCATTTGTATACATTTGGAATTGAAACCAGCTTAAAAAGTGTCATCTACAAGTAAATGCAGTATAATTGGTGCTCCTCTGGAGTGTTGTGTAAGACCATTTGGCTGGCAACAGTTTTACACAGGCTATATAAAGTATTATTTTAAAAGGAAACTTTGTTTACCAACGTAAAACAATTTGAGAACTTTCAGAATCGCCAACTAAACCATTACAATGTAATTTCTGAAATTTAATAAATGAAAATTCTAAATTGGCCTTAATGTGCAATGGTTCTTATTTAAAACATAGTAAAGACCTAAAATGAGAATAGTACTTTATAGCATTATCTTAAAAATAAATAAATCAGTGAGTTGACTGTCTGCTGTGAATTAAATACATACCTTGTACAAACTTTCCAGATCATTCTTTCTCCAGGAACTGTTTCTGAGTAGGTGCTGTTAACTATCTTTGTGCAGAGGATACATACTAAAACTCAGAGAACTAACCAGCTGTTTGACATAGTTAGTTGGTTTCAGAATTTCTCTTATAGTTAAAGGGTGAAAATGCACTTAGGGCCATCCTTAAGTTTAAAAAGAACAGAAAAGAAAGCAACTCATAATAAAAGAACAGTTAACACATCCTTGTAGTACCAGCTAAAATAGAAGCTACAGGTGGGGAAAGGTCTTAACATTAGGAAAGACACAGGACTAGAAGGAAATATGCTCCCTTGTGCTTGTGTTTTTTTTTTTAGGCACAGATTCTGTGATAAGGAATATGAGTTACTGCCATTGCACTTGGCATGTATCCCTTAACTCAGACTTGCTACAGTTTTCCTTCAGAGCCTTCTAATTTGATCAGAGATTCATGATTGAATTTCTTTAAATACCTCCAGACTGGAACAAGTGGTATTCCAATCAATGTGGTAATTCAGTTGTTTAACTTTGATTGTCTCTGAATAAGCACACAACACTATTACAATTATCCAATTCGCTTAAAATGTATGTGCAGACCAGGTTTACAGAGAAATCTTTAAACAACAGAAGGCCACTGCCTTGCATTCTCATGGATTTAGGAGCAGCAAAGAAATTTACATCCAGTCTTTAATACATTTAAGCTGTTCTGTTGCAGCTTTTTATATGTAATTTTACCTTACATTTATTACAGTTGTCCATTGACATGTATTCTGTTCATTTGACATTAAGGTTTGTTTTTGTAATTGGAACATTTTTGTAGTCCTCCCTCTGAGCCTGTATAAAATCTTACTTTTGCAGATACCCTCATTCTGTATCTTTAAAAATTCACAGCTGTATTACTGATATGGTGCTGGTGGTACTGCTTGCAAACTCAAAACTACCCTAGGAGATTGGAAGGGAAATTGGAAGTGAATTATGAAGTGTGCACTAATCAGTTTGATTTGGTGCTACTAGATTTCTATAGGTTATTCAATCTGATGCTTGTAGTTAAGACTTCCTGCAAAGACGCTGTTGTGGTGAAAAATATTGACCAATTTGTTTCCTTTTCTTTGAAACGCATAACACCAGCAGGAAACCAAATTAAGAGCAAAATTAAATGGACACACTACTGCTTATGCTTCCTCACCTCTTATGAAAGAGTTCTTGGATTTCTTTTAAATAAAATAGCACTTGAGTGTGGAGCTGAACGAGAAGCATGTGTTTTGAGAGTGCCATTTCTAAATTCAGTTGCATAATACAGACCATGCAACTTTAAGAGGAAGCTCTTCAGATTGAGGTGGTTTTAATTTCTGCTTCTTGACATACAACTGAACCAAATAAAGTCAAGATCTGTCTGGAAGCAAACTTTTAACTGCAATAACAATGCTAGGATTTCTTGTGAGTGATCTTAAATAGTTGAGCAGCCTAAATTGACTGATATGTAGATTGAAAAGCACGTCTGCATTTCAGATAAAAAAGAAGAACCCTAGACTGTCACTGTTGTTAGGGAAGAAGTCAAGGACTAGGCTTATCTCAACATTCTTTTTTATATATGACGAAGGCATTTCTACTCTAGGCTAGAGCAATCACTGATTACTGGCCATATCTTACCATGAGCAGAAGGCAATGAGTGGGAAAGAGGATACAGTAGTTTGCATTTTGCCTTAGGTTTTGTACCCATCAACTCCAAAATATGCACACTGGCTATAAATCACTACAGTATCTTGCCACAGTGCTTCTCAGATCAGGTAAGTGATTTTAAAAGTAGGAGCACAAAAGAAGAAACAGTTTTTACATAGCCCTTAAAATCGCCTTGTAAATGTGTGGCTTAGTTCCCTCATTTTAAGTTTTTAGTTTTAAAATTAGGGGATCATAATACAAGTTTTGATATGAAGTCACCAGTGAAAGCTACCCAACTTTTGCCAATAGTCTCATTCTGGCTTCCGAGCAGATACTGTTGAATGTAATTTAATACTAGGTGTTTAGTGCCATCTTAATTAAAAAAACAAATTCCCACCCCAAAGGGAAAAATGGCTTTAAGTTAAAATGTTTTCTTAAACCAGTCCTGTGCTGGCAAAAGAGACATTGGGAGAGTTCTTGTAATTTTTATTTTTATTTTAGTTAACAGCAGAAGAATGTCTAGTTTCTAATTTTGGGGTAGGATCAGAAGGGGAAGAGAACCAATTTTCAGTAAAACTTGGTGCCCTTTGTCAATACCCCCAAAGCACATGTTGCCTCAATTTGATGCATTTCAAATGAACTGTTAAAACTGGAGTATCAATCCTATATATGGTTAAAATGTATATTGCATTGGCTTGAGTCCATTTTCAGCTGCCATAGAACAAACCGCTCATTTGACAATTAGTAGAATTTTGGAAACACTTTGACACTTTTTGAACAGGGTGGACTTGACTTGTGCAGTGTTGTCTGCAGTAGCTGCTCTAGTTGCTGGAACACAAACTAGAACCCCATTTCCTGTTTGCTGACTTTGGATGATCCGGATTCAGCAAAGTGTGTGTGCGTGTGGTATGAATGTGTGTGCGTGAAACACAAACAGTCATGGAACCAACTGTTCTAGGTACATGTCATGTTTTACTGCATACTTTAAGTCATGTTGTGTGTATGTGAAGTGTCCTCTAACTTTAAGATTTTGGTTAATACCAATATATTTTTATAAATTTGAAATTCAGTGTGCTCCATCTTTTAAGTGTTTCATTGTTAGGATAAATGTACTAGATTTAATTCTTAACACTTCTCGGCACAGATGGAAAAAGTTGTCGGCTCCTTGAAAATGTATGAGGAAGAAACGGATCCTCAAAGCATGTGTGTACTTACAAACCAAGCTGTAGAGATCAAGAAAAGAACTTTTATTCTCAAATTTCTAAATTGTCAAGATTTATATGGAGTTGTGGTGGAACTAGTTAACACTTAGAGCTTTTGGTATGTAATGACTATTTGCTATGGACTGATATTAAATGTTTCAAAGGATTGCGTTCTTAAACTTTCTGGATTTTTGTTACTCCTCTTGAATTATATTAAGTAGTTTAAAGTTTCTTTACTATATTACATTAAAACATAAGAACTTTGGGTCTCCATATTTATTTTCACTTGTTTTACTAATTATTTACAGAACACCTTATTTTATAAATATGTAGTATATTAAAACATATCTTTTAAAATGTTCATTCAAACTACATTAATTACTGGTTTTTGTTTTTATTGGGGTTTAAAAAAAATACACTTTTCCATGTCAGTGCACAGCACTTAACAAATATTTGTATTCCCTTTCTTTCCAATTCAATAAACAGAATGAATAACTGGACTTGAATAGTTCTTAGCTTTCTAAGCTTCAGTTCTATTTCTGGCCAACCCTGGTAATATATCCCATGAGCATTTGTGGTCTTTTTATGCAGGAGCAGCAGGGCCCGGGCTTTAGGCTATGATAGTTAATCCTCCAGTGCTACTCTTGCTCATTATATAAGAGCAAGTTTACAAGAGTGATCCACAGAGCAGAAAAACAGCTTAGCGGCCATCCGTTATGGCTTGACAGCCATTCCTGCTTTATAACCACAGATGGGACTCAAGACCAGGCTGTTTATGCACAGGGCTATATTCAGCTTGGAGGATCATAAGTTGTGCTGGGCTGCATTATAAACTAAATGACCCCCACAGCTGGTATATGTGTACAGTCAAACCTCGGTTTTCAAACATCTCGGCTGCCAAACGTTTCTGAAGCCGAATGCCGAAAACCTGGAAGTGAATGCTTCCGTTTTCGAACGCACCTCAGAAGTTGAACTGCTACCATCAGATGTCAGAGAGATAAACTATCTGACATTTAGAAGACATCTGAAGGCAGCCCTGTTTAGGCAAGTTTTTAATGATTGATGATTTAATGTGTTTTTAATCTCTGTTGGAAGCCACCCAGAGTGGCTGGGGAAACCCAGCCAGATGGGCGGGGTACAAATAATAATAATAATAATTATTATTATTATTATTATTATTCTGAGGTGCATTTTTCATTTTTTCCCATTGACTTTGCAGCCAGCCCTTTCTCGGTTTTCAAATGTTTCAGAAGTCAAACCGACTTCCAGAATGGATTACGTTTGAAAACCGAGATTCCACTCTATATATTTTCCCCAGATTGCCTCTCTGTACCCTGGAGTGACACTCAAAAGGTGGCCACTAGTATATAGTAAAGATTGCTTCAGCTGCAACAACTTAACACCTCTTACAGGGATACTCTTGCATCAAGTACATATAGAGCAAGCTACTGAAGGGTATGTGTGCCTCCCTTGTCCTTTTTTTAAGTTGCACCAAAGGAAGGTAGAGATTTCCATGCACTTTCGAAGAATAAGTGCGCCTAGCTCTCTAGAAACTGCTTTAACCTCTAACTGGGAGCCGCGCCGCGGCCCGGGGGTGGTAGGCGGACCGCGGCTCCTAGGATGTGGAAAGGGGACGGCGGCGCAGGGGGAGGAGACCCGCACGGCTAGGGCAGCGCGCAGGGGGAGGGGAGCGGGCCGGAGGCGGGCGAGGGGGCCGCGATCCCGCGCGCCGTGAACATGGCCTCCTTCCCCACGGGCCCCGCCGAGCCCCCCGGCCGGGGAGGGCGGCGCGCCCCCGCCGCCGGAGGAGAGCAGAGGCAGGAGGAGGAGGACGAAGGCGCTGCCGAGGAGGCGCGCCAACTTCTGCCAACTTCGGCGCCCGCCCCGTCGCCGCAGGCTCCTCCCGGCCGAGAGCCAGAGGACGGCGGCGGAGCAGGAGGAGGAGGATCGGGTTTGGCGACGGCTGCTGCGTCCTCTCCAAGCGCGGGGCTGGCCTCCGCCGCGCCCGATCCTCCGCGCTCGCCGCGCTTCTCGGCGGAGCAGGTCTCGTGCGGGTGCGAGGCGCTGCTACCTATATATGTCACCTTTGTGCTATGTGACTAGTAGCAGAAGGGGAGCAATATGTACCAAGCCAGTTACTGAAACTATTGCAAAAGCAGTTGAGGGAACCACCTGCAGAACAAGACAAAAATGTGTTTTGCTCGGTCGTCTAATAGGAGAAAAAATAATACCTGATTCTAAACCAAGGAAAATCAGATGCAGGATGGGGAATAAACTCCATCTCTATAGCAAGCCAGATAACAATGCAATTACAGTTTAGGTGGAGAATAGTTCCTAAAGGTGCATAATGCATTTTAAAAACTAGTCTAAAAAATTCAAGTGGTTTAGGCTAGAGTGGTGTTGAAATGAGCCAAGCAGACTGATGTAAGCCCTTAAGGCATATTTAAAGTAGGTGAGGACTGTGAGATGTGTTTTCTTAGAAGCAGCCCTTAATTACCAAGAACCAGCTTCAACTGCAGAAGCCTGATGAAAGAGGACACTTCCTGCTCCTATTAGTGATCAGATTAAAATACCATCCGTGAATGAGCCAAGACTGCCTGATCCTGTAGCATTTCATGAAGCTACCTTGACATGTCACAATAAGCCATCATGACCAAACCAACAGCAGCTTTGGGCAGGAGGAAGATGGATTGTGCTACTTAATCCTCTCCTTTACACCCTTCCAACAAGGTTATTAGTATCTCTAAAAGGGAAGATTCACACAGAAAACCAGGAGAAAAGGGTTGAATTTATCCTTCCATAGGGAACTCCTACTGTGTCGAGGGCAACTACAGTAGAAATGTTGACAAAAAGCTGTTAAGTATTCTAGTCTTTGATTGATAGCCAACTTTATTAGGCTTTATTAGACTTCCCTTTACAGGTCTTCTCTTTTAGCCTGCTACCCAGTGTCTTTTGGCTAGATGCATTTAGAAATAGCTCCAGTATTTCAGATGTAGTTTCACAGCCTCAATATAGAAATACATCTCCTATGGCCCACAGCGGTTTGTTAATGTACTGGTGGAAATTTGATTTTACAGGGAACTACTCCAGGCCCCCCCCCCCAGATTGGGGAAAGAGCAAAAACACTGCAGGTGTTTACAGGCCGCTCCATATCCCATATAGGTAAGGTAAAGGTACCCCTGCCCGTACGGGCCAGTCTTGCCAGACTCTAGGGTTGTGCGCTCATCTCACTCTATAGGCCGGGAGCCAGCGCTGAAACACTGTTTACCTTCCCGCTGGAGCGGTACCTATTTATCTACTTGCACTTTGACGTGCTTTCGAACTGCTAGGTGGGCAGGAGCAGGGACCGAGCAACAGGAGCTCACCCCATCGCGGGGATTTGAACCGCCGACCTTCTGATCGGCAAGTCCTAGGCTCTGTGGTTTAACCCACAGCACCACCCGCATCCCTATCTTGTGATTAGCCAAGCTGTAATGGTCTTTATCAACAGCACTTCAACACTAGCACAGCTCATACAAAAACTACCATTTATTATGGTATAAGTTTTCACTCCATCAAATACATCAAGTCCGTGGTGGCCAGACTTGGCCCTCCAGCTGTTTTGGGACTACAACTTCCATCATCCCTAGCTAACAGGACTAGTGGTCAAGGGTGATGGGAACTGTAGTTCCAAAACAGCTGGAGGGCCAAGTTTGGCCATCACTGCATTAAGTGCTATCCTGATTTATAGAGGGGTGTGTGTGGATACACAAACGAGGAGCGAGGAAGTGAAAGATTTTAAAAAGTTAGGTCCAAGGGAAATAAAATTCAGTAAAATACAGGAAGTGATGGTTATGTACTTGTAACTGTGGTAATTCACAAAACAATTCTTGATGGTGACATCCTGGCATTGGTGCCATCATCTGACTCCATTCATTGGCTAGCTGGCATTCTTGAGAAAATGATGCATTGAATATAATAGGAAAATTGACTGTAGAAGGGACAAATCAATGGTTCGAGAAACTCGGTATGTTGGTTTTTTAAATATTTTTTATGTTAAAAAATACAGCAAAAATATTTTTTGTTCAAAGAGGAAAAAATATACTGCATGACGACACTGGTCTAGGTTTACTTGAAAGCTGTGAGTGACAACTCAGAATTTGGCAACTGTAACACTTCTACTTCGACTTCAGTCATTTATCAGCGCCAAGATCATACTGCAGAAAGAAGGAAAACATATTAAAGGTACAATTTTAAATAGATAACCTTACACGCACACCCTGCAACTTGCATCTTTATTATGCTAGCAACATTGGCAAAGTTGTTTCCATTTGGTTCATTTGCATAGTCCGGTCTTACTGAAGAACTAGGCATCGTGATGCAAAGTGGTAGCATATGTGATTGTACAAGGCTAGCCGTTACCGCAGCAAGTCACTTTTAGTCCAGGATATCCTCAAGTTTAAAGCTGCTTGATAATCGAGGATTTATAAGGCATGTCTAGTGCTAGACAAATTCCAGAGTTTACAAGGTATGTATTATGCATAGCTGGTGTGGCATGTAGGACTGCGTCTTAAACAGGCCTGTCTTGTCAATAGCTCACCACCCACAGTTTCAAAAGCATTTAGATCTTAAACCTTCAAATAAAGGCAAGGACCACTTTCATCATTGGTTGCAACATCCCCAGCACAGATGGACCAATGATTTCCATCTCTGGGAATCTCAAAGAAAATCCTTATAACTTCAACCTGTCCAGAAACCCAACCTCACAGCCTGAAATGATCTCTAAGTGAATGGTGTGAACACCACATAGTGTTAAACTTCCCATCTATGAGCACATGGCATTTATTCCAAAAACCATTCCACACATACAGAATAACCACCCTGGAATTGGGCCTATATACTAGGGCAGGAATGGGACACTTTTGTCATTCATATATATATATATATGCAGGTTTTGGTGTCCTCGGGTGTCTTCCCGTGTAAAAGTTGGGGTGTCTAGGCGACGTTTCGACGAGGTCTCACTCGTCATCTTCAATATATATATATAACAACATCTAAATATATGACAATTTACATATATGGAATCTTCTACATATGGAATCTTCTGAAGGTGTGCCCTGAATGCAGACATTTAAACAGAAACAAGGAACTGCTCAAAAACAGAGCTTGTAGTACTGTATACAGGACAACACTGTATACTACAGACTTTCAACTTATTAAAACACAAATTCCCTCTTCCCAGAGAACTTTGGGAACTGTATTTCTGATGCGGCAGGAAAGAGAGTAGGGATCTCTTAGCAGGTAACACCCAGGTAAACTACAATTCCTAGGATGTTTTTATATAAAGCCACAAGAGTGAAAAGAAATATCCAGCCGGATGAACAAAACATACCGCACCCAAAGAGAAAGTGTAAGTTAAGAGTGGACTCGCACCTCATTGCACAGTGCGAGTTTCGCCACAAATAAACTTCGCCCACAGAGAGGCTCTCAAAGAAAAAGCCAGCAGTGATGGAAATCTTTGTGTGATAACCAGTCACCATATAACAAACATGACCAGGTGAATCCATTGATTGATTTGTATACCGCCTTATACCCACAGGTCTCAGGGTGGTTCACAGGATAAAAATAAAGAGCTATTAACAGCTAAGGAAGCGCAAAGGAACCATGCCCTTGTTTACTTGCCTTTTTACATGAGAACCACAAGATCAATTTAAGTTGTGACCACCTCTGCTGTTGCTTTGTGAGGATTATGTGTCAGCAGTAAAATTTGGGGATGTGTTTTCAAAAGCAATGCAAGGTGCCTTTCTGGTTTGTTTTACGTTATGTATATCCAGGTCTTGAATCTCTTTCCTGGATGAGCTGTATCCCAGAGGGTCACGTGATGTGCTGGGCTCCCAGTCTAAACCTAAACCCAGTTACAAACAGTGTCAGTCAGATATTCCCAGATACCCTCACCAAAACACATGAGCACAGGAACATGCAGCAAAACTGAAAGGCAACTAGTATTTTTTTTACAAAAAGAAAGAAATGGGGGGAGGGGGTTTAAGGAGAGAGAAAGAGCCAGCATTTGGCCACTATTACGAATTGTGAACGTAGCAGAAAGCTTAAACAGCACAGCAGATAGATGAACCCTATTAAGTTCAGAGCTGTTGTGGCGGCAGGTATTTTAAATATGCTGCTGGTCTTCTTTCCAAGTTGCAAGACTTGAGACTTACCTGTAAAGATACATGAAAAAACAAAGGAGATGAAAGCCAAGCTTAATCATGGCTTCCTTCATGTGTGATTTCAGCTGCCCTCGATTATGGATCTCTGTGGGGTCAAATACTCCCATGTTTCCACTAGGAACCATAATGTACCTGAAAAGGATTAAGGAAAACATGTTTTAATGCCAACAGCACTCCAGAACAGAGGAGACACAATTCAAGCTTACTGTGCTAATAGGACCAAAAGGTATCAAAGCATGAAAGGGTCTAGGCAAGCAGAGCAGCGGCAAGACAAGTTTTGAAGCAGATTTTGTAGAGAAAACTGGATTGATGGCTGGTGGAAAAGCAGGGTTTGTCCCAGAGAGAATACGTAATGTGATGGAAGGCAGATAATCAGAAGGCTCAAGCAGGAGAGCAAAACGAAAAAGGGACAGAGAACATGGAAACCTGAATACTTGCGGGGGCAGATGGAAGCAGTGCAACTGGAAAGAAGGAGGGCATATGGAGACTGTGCCTGTGCAAAGGGGGACAGTTGTGGAGAAAGCGTTTGCACAATATTAGTTTCAGTAGACAAAGAAATGCTTATATTGTCAACCATTTCAAAATATGGTGCAAATTCATTTTCTGAAGAACCCTGGGAACTCCCTCAATCTGGAAAACTGGAATACTGCAAATGCAGGGTTATATATTTACTTGGAACATGGAGGAATTTAGTTAGGAGCTTAAGAACATGACCAGTTGAAAGCTGTCTCTCCAGTGTGTGTGTTGAAACCATGCTATTTAATTTGGATGCTACTTCAGCTACTTGACCCTTGCAAGGAGTTGCTCATGCTCAGAACCTACTCATGTGAACAGTATTATCTGAGAGACTTCTGTGAGATCAGTGTCCCCCTTGGCAATTAGAAAAAACAAAACATGGAAAGTTGTCCTGTTTACAGAGGGAAGGGCTATGATCTTTCGTAAATCACCTTGTTTTGACTTTATACTATTCACGTGAGTAGATCCACACAAGCAATTTATGTGCGAGGGAGAGCTGGCTGAAATGTTCTCTGACCCAAATTTTAGACCATACAATGGATCTGCAATCCACTTGTCAATATCAACTGTACAATGCAAGCAGCTTTCTACAGGGAAGGGGGATGGGAAAGGGAACCAAATGAATGCTTACTTTCTTGTGATCAGCACATACAAACCTGCATCAATGTACAAAATAGGTTCACAGACAGTAAAAAACAACAACCCAGCTTTGATATGGTAAATGTACTTCAGAAACCACTTTCACATTTAGCTTCTCTCTGCTGGAAGCACAGGCAAGTTACTCATTTCGACATCAAAAAGGTCAGTGGTTTTCTTTTAAAGAGAAATGAGTTAACAACCGAGCACCTACAGCAATGCCTACCAGACTTATTTGGATATATTTTATTTTGAGGAGATGTGCTTATTTAAAAAAATATTCATAAGTCCACAAAAGCTAATAAAACTATTTAAAATTCAATGATAAAAGTATGAATACAGCAAAGGAGTAGTTACAGAAAATAAAAATAAAAAGACAGATCAAAAGGCTTGGAAAAACAAAAAGGTCTTGCTCTGGCAGCAAAATGACAACCATATAGGTTGAAACAAAATTAAAAAATTCCTTCCAGTAGCACCTTGGAGACCAACTAAGTTTGTTATTGGTATGAGCTTTCGTGTGCATGCACACTTCTTCAGATACTTCTTCTGCACATGAAAGCTCATGCATTGTCTCTTTTCAGGTTGCAGAATCTTTTTCACATTTGAAGTGAGACATTAATGTTGTGTACAGAATAAAGTTGAGGAAGAAGAGGGGGGTAGGGTGGAAATACTTGGTGTGTGGGGGCGGTTTTGTGTCAGTGTCACTAGGGTAGGTTCTCTTTCTATTTGTTTATTATATTTCCTTGGTAGTGAAAGGTTAGGAGGGGCAGGGCATGGTTGGTTGTCTTTAGTTGGTGGCAAACAAATCTCACTGCAGCCAACTATGGAAAACCAACCATGTGCTAAGTTCACCATAATATTAGAGGGAAAACAGCAGCTCAGGCCTTATAAATAAGTTACTCTACCAGCAGTGGTGTCAACTGTTATCAGCAGCACTTGGCAGAGCACCACAGCTATTGGAATTAGTGGCTCAGTATGTGCATCACTTAGGACATTATTACATAATGCCAATAATAATGAAAGAACACAAGGGGAAAGCAATTATACCAACCAATAGATTATTTCGCAGTAGATAGTGCCCACAGTAGCAATGATGTGGGGGTATAGAATTTTATGTAATGGGAAAAAATTCCCACCATATATTTCTCTGTAAAATAAACTTTCCATCCATCATGAGGGAGGCAGGCACAAACAACAACAGGGCCTGCTTCAACCCATGGATCTTTTTATTCGGACTGGAATAAAGCAGCTCCAAGATGCAGTTAGTGAGCTTTCCGCCCCCCACCTTCAAATGCCCTCAAGGAGAGAAGTCACATCAGTCCTCAGGAAAAGCAAAACACCCTGACAGATTTAAAAGTTAAGAGAGTAGAGAAAGCAACACTGAGGTTCAAGCCGTTCCCGCTGAGGATGGTGAATTTCATAAATTGTGGAACAAGACAGACTAATGGAGGAACAGCATGATCGGCATCAAATCAATAACAGCATTCCACATCTGAAACACTTTTTAAATAAGTGGTAACAATTATAAAGACCCACAAACAACCCCGCTGGCCCTTACCTATATATATTCCAGGTTGCTACAGGTAAATTGAGGAGGAAGATGAACCAGTGCAGTGAAATAAGCATTAATACAGTGACAATGGTATGGCCAATCAATTCAGGGATCACCCACTGGAAAAGAGAAATTTTTAGAAAAATAAAAGCCTTTATACAACACTCTGTGGGAGTGTACAAGCAAATGGGATAAAAGTACACTGTCAGCACTATTATCAGTCTGCCAACTGATCACAGAACTGGCACAATTCACATGACTCCAAGTACTTAAAAAAACAACAACAAAACACCACAATGCCGTCAAAGTGTCCAAACTTCTTTTCAGGATCTAGCCGTGCACTTCAGAGGCAGCCTTGAGAAAAGTACTGCAGACAGAAGCAGTTGGGTCTATTTGGGAACATATCCAAGTCCAGAGTTGTGTGCAGGATTTGGGGGGGAAAGGTGCATAATTTAGCATTCCAAGGATCTTAATCTTATTTTTTAAGTTTCTAAGCCTTCTGGCTGAGCTCAGGCTTCAACATGTAGCCTGTCGCATATCTTCCAACATTTCTCCAATGAAAATAGGGATATTCTAAGGAAAAGCTGGAAATTCCAGGATCAGTTCAGAAACTGGGACAGCTTCTGTAAATCTGGGACTGTCCCTGGAAAACAGGGACACTTGGAGGGTCTACTGTTGAGATTTCAGAAGCAGAATGGAGAAGTGTGCCCAGGCTCTGAGGCATTTATATCACCTTGCAAGTGCGTGCTCTTTCTTTTTTCTTTTCTTCTCTTTCTTTCTTTCTTTCTTTCTTTCTCCCTCCCTCCCTCTCTCCCTCCCTCTCACACACACAAAAGCAAACATTGGCATGATTTTTTGTCTGCTGAAACCCCTAATTTTGAGCTCAAACAGTAACATTCCACTTGCACCAGCATTACTACTATGTTCCTTTCTACTTACTTATGCACCTGAATGGTCTGCTAGGCTCCCTCTACAGCATGGGTAGGCAAACTAAGGCCCGGGGACCAGATCTGGCCCAATCGCCTTCTAAATCCGGCCTGTGGACGGTCTGGGAATCAGCGTGTTTTTACATGAGTAGAATGTGTCCTTTTATTTAAAATGCATCTCTGAGTTATTTGTGGGGTATAGGAATTCATTTTTTCCCCCCAAAAATCTAGTCCGTCGTCCGCCCCCAAGGTCTGAGGGACAGTAGACCAGCCCCCTGCTGAAAAAGATTCTGCTCTACAGGAACAAATTATAAATGCTTGCCTTTAACTTCAAGACTAATGTTCTACTGAGGGCTGCACAGAGGGAAGAGGACTTTCCAAAAGGGCAGGGGTGCATGTGTTATGTTCTTAAATTCTTAAGACACAGTAATCCAAACTGTGCCATAAAAAGGATGACGTTGACAACACACATATCTTTGCTATTTGTTAGCAATGGATACTAGTCCTCGGCAAATTGTTAACGAGAAGGATCCTTTAAAACCATCGATGGTAACCTGACTGCAGAACTAATGCAACTGAACAGGAAACAAATAGTAAAGGGAGTGGATTTGAAGAGCAGAGGAGAAACCAGGTGGGAAAGGGGACTGAGACATGGGATGCAAGCAGTGACAATACTACAAGGGGAGAGCAAGGAGGAAAAACACAGGAATGGGCTAGAGAGGCATACTTTGCAGGAAGTTGCAAATGGCCAGGTCTGGGCAAGGAAAAGGAAATGGCCTGCAAAGGACAAGAAGGTAGCAGAATGCGGGTATACAAGATGAGCTATGGAACACAGGAAGCCTTATATTGAGTCAGAGGACTGATCCAACTAGCTCAGTAGTGTCAGCATAATACCCTCCAGGTCTTCAGGCAGGAGTTCTTCCCAGCCCTTCCTGGAGATGTCAGGGACTGAATCTGGGACCTTTAGGAAACAAGGCATGTGATCCCCCCCCCCCCCCGAGTCATGGCTCTTGCTTTCCCAAAGCCAGGAAACACAAGGAGAAAAATACTGAAGTCATGAGTGTGGTGGAGGAATTTGAGCAATGCAGGTTCTGAGAATCAGGGGAGATCCAAAAGGCCCATTAACTGAACAACCCACATGTTGACACCAGGTCCCAAAGAGAGTTAGTGGGACAGGAAGAGGATTCCTTTTCCCTCACAAAGACAAAATACTATTAGCATAGTGCTGGGGAAATCCCTGCATCAAAAGTAATACTAGAGGAATGCATCTAGATCAAAATGGGTGAATTTTCAAATAAGCAAAAGGCAGCAAACTATCCACACATGAAGGACTCATCCATTTCTTAGTTATTCCATTGTAAGTCAGTTATTCCATTGTAAGTCAGAACATTCAAGATGACCTAAACAGGAGAACTGGACCCAAACATAATAATAATAATAATAATAATAATAATAATAATAATAATAATAATAATAATAATTTTATTATTTATACCCTGCCCATCTGGCTGAGTTTCCCCAGGCACTCTGGGCGGCTTATAGCATATCTAAAAACAAAATAAAAACATCAAACATTAAAAACCTCCTGCCTTCAGATGTCTTTTAAAAGTTTCAATAGGGACAAATGTCAGGTTCTAAACTTAGGCAGGAAGAATCAGATGTACAAATATAAGATGGGGGACACCTGTCTTGTAGGTACAGTGGTACCTCTGGTTATGAACTTAATTCATTTCAGAGGTGTGTTCTTATCCTGAAACTGTTCTGAACCTGAGGTACCACTTTAGCTAATGGGGCCTCCTGCCACCGGCATGCGATTTCTGTTCTCATCCTGAGGTAAAGTTCTTAATCTGAGGTACTACTTCCGGGTTAGCAGAGTCTGTAACCCAAAGTGTTTGTAACCCGAGGTACCACTGTATAGATGTAAAAAGGATCTAGAGGTTGTTGCAGACCACTAACTGAACATGAGTCAACAGTGTGATGCAACAAAACAAAACAAAAGCTAATGCTATTCTAGGCTGTATCAACAGAAGTATAGTGTCCAGATCAAGGGAAGTAACAGTACCACTCTATTGTGCCTTGGTCAGACCACACCTGGAGAGTACTGTGTCCAGTTCTGGGCACCACAGTTTAAGTAAGATATTGAAAGCTGGAACACATGCAAAGGAGGGCAACTAAGATGATCAAAGGTCTGAAAACCAAACCCTATGAGGAATGGTTGACAGTAAAAGATATTTGACAGTGGAACGGACTCTATCGGTAGGTAACGTTACATAATCCTGATTACTTCATACTAATAAGATGACCCACACACACACCTCTTCTAAATCTAATTCCAGAATTTCATCACTTTAAAAAGAATTTCAGAATTTCATCACTTTAAAAAGAGAAAAGGAAAAAAACTTACTTTATTTAGTTTTGAGCAGCAAGATCTAGCATTTATGTAGTCACATTCCAAATCTGATAATGTAATTATCTGAAGGTCAAGATAAGGAATTACAAGGCTTTTGGAAGAGCTCTACCCTGTGACACAAGAGCCACAAATGCCTTGCACCGCTCCTGAGTATTACAACAGAGTTAAACAGTTCATATAAACATCTGACTGCAAGGGATTCTACTAATGTAACAAAGGTTACAGAACAGGCAGAACATTCACAAGCAAGAGGCTATTTCAGAAGATTCATCGATTAGTAACAGCAGAATTCACAACCCAGCTGTTACGCTGATAGACTTAACAACATCAGTGCACACAGCCAAGCCCCAAGCTACAACATACTTGGCATCCGAGGTAGTGCAAGCCCCAGCATCCACACAACCACCATGACTAGCCACAGCAATCATAATAGTTATAAGGCAGAAGCAGAGAACCTAAGGTGCCAACCTAAGCGTGCACACCCAAGACTAAGCGCAGGCTTCCCTGGCCATTGTTGCAATTACTGTGTTGGGTCGCAGCAGCTTCAGCAATAGCTGAACAGTGGCTTGGCCATGAAGGGTTCCAGTTATACCTGGAGTCTGCAGAAGCCTGACAGGTTTTCTAAACTGTTTTTATATAAGGAACTGTTTTTACACGTTTTAAACTTCCCTTGTTTTGTGGTTTTAACTGTTTTCTTTGTTTTATAATTGTAAATTGTAACTTGCCCTGGAACCATATGATAAATGGCAAGAAAGCAAATTAAATAAAGAAAATAGTTGCATCTTCATTGCAGAGCTATAGATAACACCTCTCTATCAGCTTGGGTTCATTCCTGTTAGTGTACAACTATTTTATATATTGAACATTTACGGCAGAATAGCTGCTGTAACAAAAGCATACAATCACACATTGGTCACATTCATATGCTGCAGGAAACCATGGGATTGTATTCAACTATGTTTACTTAGAGTAGAACCACTGAAATTAATGGACCCATCTCAGTCATATCAATTTTACTGAGTCTACTTAGTTGAATAAAACCCATGGTTTCCCTTTATGTGAATGAGCTACAATGAGACTTACACATTCCCCCCTCTCTTCCCTTCCATCCCCTTTTGTGCACTGGAAACTGTTGTTGAATTCAGAAGCAAAACTTTCAGATCCCCTGCCTGGAGGCATGCAAAGGGAAAGGAGGGAAGGGTGAGCTGTTAATTCACATAAAACAGAAACCTATGGTTTCTTGCCACAAGGCTACTATGGCATCACGCTGAACCCATGACAGATACACCCTCTTTGTGCTGTTGCAATAAATTTTTGAGCTAGAAATTTAGACTCAACTACAGATTGTGACCTACAGAAGAAAGAGCTAAGTATGCCACTTAATACACTGAATGTAACTGAAGCAAGGCATAATTATACTGACATGTTCAGTGCTCCATAATGCCTTACTTATAATGAATGCATGAAAATGAAGCAATTTTAGTTAGAAAATACTAGTCATGTAATCAACCATGTAGCATAGCAACATCTTCAGCAGCATCAAGATATTTAAGAAAAATCTCAGCATATCACACAATTCTTAACTAAAATGCTTGAACATTTTCTTAGAAAATGAGAGATATCTAAATGTTAATCTTAGGAGCAGGCACACTTAAGGTACTTTGGCCTTCAGAAAAAATCTGAAGGCCATGTTTAAGGCCTTTGTAACCTAAGAAGTCATAAAACAACCACAGAAGTATTCTTGCAACAGTCTGAATGATAAAACAAAGGGCACATATACCTGGAAGTAAGCTCCCATTCATGAGACTAAGTAAGTTCCTATTCATGAAATTTACTTCCAAGTATACACATCTAGGACTAGGGGGGCAACCCAAGTATAAGCAGGCACCCCAGCAGAACTCTCAAATATTTCATATGAGGCGTACAGCTAAAATGCCATGATAACAATAACAGTTTTCAATATTTTATATATTTGTAAGTTGCGAGTTCTAGGCAAAGTTTAACCTATCCATATAAAGCAATCCGCGGAAAGCACTGCCTGAGCACCATACTACAATTTACAGAGCTACAATAAAACAGGGTTTTTATACAGTTAGGAAGACTGCATGTGCATTTAAATTTCTGCTGGAAAGGCTGCCATATTACCTCCATGTCTCCTTGGCCACCACCATGGCTAGTACCATAGCTTAGCAAAACTGGGGGGTTACCAGGGCCAGCAGTGGTGCCTTCTAGTCTAGGCTCTTCATGGCCAATGGGCCCAAAGGGGTAAGAGGCCAGCACTAATGTCCCATTTGCCTGGGCCAGGATACCAACCCTGACTGAAGGTGCAAGGGTCCGCCGATTCATTCCTTTTTACCCCTCGTTAGCCACTCCTCCATTTTCTCTCGCCCCAAACCCCTGAAGGCAGGGTTTTAAACATTCGCACCCCACTTTTCTTCCCCTTAAACATATTCTCGAGGCCGCTCCCCAAAAGCCCCTCGCTGCCTCCCCACGGTCTCCTTCCCAGGAGCCCCTTCTTTCTTCGTTCTCCCGCAGCAACACCTTCACGGCCCCCACGGCCGACGGTCACCGACGCCCCCGGCCTCCCAGAGCCCCTTCGCCGCCCCAACGGTCCTTCCCAGCCCGCCCACCCACAGACCACGGAGGGCTGCCTCGCCCGCTCCAGCCTCCCTCTTCCCAGGCCGCCCGCCAATAAAAGAGAGACCGGAGGATACGAAATAAACGGAGAGGAAGATCAGGGCGCAGCAGTCAATGAGCGAAAAAATGAACACCACCGACTCCATCCCGCCACTGACAGTGCCGCCTCCAGCGCGAGCCCCACCAGCCACCGTATATCGCCACACCCCTTACGTCCCTTCGCAGCCACCGTACACCACCAGCTCCCGGGGCTTTGCCGCATTGCACGCTGGGAATTGTAGTCTCTTTATCCAGTCGCTCAATAGAGGTGTGGCAAACGTGAGGCGCTCCAGATTTTATTTTTGGACTGCAACTCCCATCATCCCTGACTGTTGACGAAGGTGGCTAGGAATGATGGGAATTGGAGTCCAAAGACATCTGGCGGGCTGCGTTCCCCTCCCCCCGCCACAGGACCAAGGGATACGACATGCTTCCGTAGAAAGAGAGCTGAAGCGAGAAAGTATCATAGGCGCCGGGAGTGGAAGGGTTGGAACGGGGGGCTTGAATCAGGAATGAGACTGGAGGGTGACGCCAATTTGGGCCTTCATGAGTCGGGTGGGTGTTAGGCGTCTAAAGCAGTGCCTGCACGGGGATCCCAACCCGCCTCTTGGCTCTGCCTTTCCCTTTCCCGAGGGGGTCGTCGTGCCTCAAGGCGAGGCCGATTTCCGGGGTCTTCAAGGAGTCTGAGGCGGAGGGAGGCGGAGCTCCCGCTTCGTTTGAGGGGCGGAATTCGGCGGCGGCGGCGGCGCTGCCATGCGGATTCGCGGAGGAAGCAGCCCCGCAGGGGATCCTCGGCTGAAGCATCGGATTAAGCAGGTACCGCTTCGTTTCTCTCCCCTGGTCCTTCACTTATGGGGTGGACTCCCCATAAGCTGAGCCGCCTGGGCTTTCTTTTTGCACCCTGGGCAAGGAAAAGCGTGCCTCTGAGCCTACTTAGATTGCTTTTGCCGCACTACGCCAACCCAGCAGCCGTAGCTAGGTCTGGCACATCCAGCACTGGGCGATCAAGTCCGTACGTAGCACTTTTGTTCTGCAGACCAAGTTGATTTTTTTTACCTTGAACTGAATTAATATATAGTTGCAGGATAAATTTAAAGCCCTATCCTTACCATCATCGGTTTGGAAATAAGTCCCAATGTCGGGATTGATTTGCGAGTGTATTTTGGAGTCATGCAACCTAGGCGTGTTTATCATGTCTGCCGAGTTCAGTGGATTTTTAACCACATTGAACATCCTCCTCCTATGAAATCAGTGGGCATATTGCTATACCTGCAGTGAAACAGGTAGGCATGTCCTTGTCAGATAGCATAGGATTGGGCTGTTGGTCTTTAGTGTGAGATGGATGAGTTAAATGTTGATGGTAAAAGGTATTGTGCCATGCTTTTAGCCCATGGGCTTCCAAATGGTTGAGCTGAGGAGTGAATAAATAAATCCATTGCTTCTCTTCACATATCACAATTCACACTTGTAAAAAGCAGTGCTAGAACCTTCATACAATGAGCAATTGTTTATTTGATGTTTGTCCAAAAACTAAAAAAACCACAGTTGAATTTCATAAACCTATCACGTATGCAAATACTGTACTAAAGTTTTTTTATATATTTAAAAAATTGTATCAATTACAGTACCTGAAGAGTAACAAATGTGGCAAGTATGTTGACATTGGAGTTTTAGCTGCTGAGCTACAGAAGACATACAGGTAAGATATTGAATTCTTACACTTGCTTGATGATAAACACAAGGACTGGGCTTATACATAACTATAAAGTGTGATTTAGGCTCAGGGACTCATATGCTTCTCCTTTCCCGGCTCCTATTCGCAGTGATGCCAATGGAGGAGCAGAGACCCCTGCTGAAAAAGTAAGCTGACCCCTGGCCTAAACTAAACTTAAAACTAGGCCCTCTGATGTGTCCTGATGAATAGCAGAGTCCCAGAAGTGTATATTTGTAGTGAATGTAGTAATAAAACACACAGAATTAAAGGTCCATCGGTAAAAGAAAAACTTACTAAAGGCAAAAAGGCTTCATTACAAAAAAAAACTTTAGAGAAAAAACTGCAAACACGTGAGGTACAAACGAAAGTAAGAGAGAGAATGACCAGCTCGTTGAGCACACAAATTTATCTCTCATGGCTCAGTGTGACCTTGAAATAGTCAAAACAATATTTGCAGCAGAATTGAATATTCTAGAATGAACTAGAATCTTCCAGCATTTTCCAGTTTCTGCCGTCAAAGACTTTAGCCATGACAAGCAATAGTTCCAGATTTGGAAAAATAAATAATTTCCATTAGTTGGAAAAATAACAGAAAATGTTCGTCACCTTTTCAGGACTGTGCTGGAAGAGGAGAGCCCAGGACTCACCCAGGCTTAGGGCCCATTTACATATCCTCCCTCTGCCAGCAAGTTACTTGTGCTCTGCAGCATGGATAACTTATACTGGACAGAAAGGCTGGATTGGGGTTAAGGAAAAGGTGAACCAACCTCTATCTCATAAGGAGAACCTTACACCTGTGCATGGTTCTGTTGAGTCTAAAGGGCCTCCCATGGTAGAACCCATGGCAGACTGAAGAATGATATGTTATTTGATAAAGAATGTACAGTTGAGTCACAACTTACGTGGGGGTTATGATCTGGGGTTAGCTTGTAAAGCAAAAATTGCATATAGTCAAAACACACTCTCCCTGCACCTCCAAACTCCTGAGGGGAGTACAATGGCGGGTGAGATTGCTTACATTCCCCACTTCCTTTCCCCTGGCCAAACTGTAAAACTGAATTCATGCAAGTTAAGTACACATGAATTGCAAGTCAATTGTAATTTGGAAAACAGGCCACCTTTGTTAAATATTGGTCCCAATCTTTCCCTGTGTTTGACCTGAAGAAGGCCTTCACTGAGACTAATGTATAAAATTGATTTCCAGTGCTGATTATGGACGAAGAAAAAGAAATGCCTTTAGAATACAGGTAGAGAAAGGTGAGTCCATTTTTAATATTGAATTTGAAGTGAAAATTCAGTCCTTGGTAATGGGCTGGATGAGAGCCAACAAACTGAAGCTCAGTCTAGAGAAGACTGAGACATTGCTGTTGGGTTGTTCCCTAGATTAGATGGATGGGAGGTTGCCCTCTCTTGAAGGGGTTACACTTCCTCTAAAGAAGAGGGTACATAGCTTGGGGGTACTTCTAGATCCTTTGCTGTTGCTTGAGGCTCAGATGACCTCAGTGGTGTGGAGTATCTTCCATCAGCTTCAACTGGTAGCCCAGCTGCACCCATATCTGGACAGGAATAGCTTAACTTCTGTCTATGCTCCAGTAACCTCTAGGTTATGTTAGAATTCCTGCTCCATGATTGCAGTCATGGGATGTTTGTCTTTCACATGACGGTATATGTTTTGTTTTTTTTTTTAATAAAATTTTTATTTGGTTTTCTGCTTTTATAGAGACAAAACATACACAAAGAAAAAACAAAGACAAAAACATATATAAAGTCAGCAAATCCCCATTTCATAACCTTGATCCCTGACTTCCCCCCACCCCCCCTAATGCATCCCTGTTTCAAGATTATGTCAGCAAGTTGATATTTCTCCTCTTAACAATCTTGTTCATCTTATTTCCTTTTTTTTATAATAAAAATTAGTTTTCATAAGTTGGACTTAAGTTCTCTTCCATCGATTTTCATTTTATCTTAATTAAGAGTCATCTTAACCAAACCTAAAAGTCTTAAGAGTTTTTAAGAGTCTCTTCTTCCCTCCCTCCCATCCCCGGTTTTTGTCCCTTCCCAATAAAAATCCAAATTCGAAGTTCTCAGCCTGGGTTCCTCACGTCCGAGGCTTTCAAATCTATTTCCGTTCCTCTCCGCCTGTCCTGTTGGTAGTCCTTTACAGCAGTCGTCAGATCTGGGAAAAGTTCTTTCACCATCAAAATATGTCCTCTTCCAACAAGAAGATTCAAAGGTGGCTGCTGAAGTATTTCCACAAAGTCTATCTCTTCCAAGTCTAAGTCCAAACGGAGGCCCCAATCATATTTCTTTATTTTAAATTCCTGTACTCCATTTTGTCTTGGGGCCTCCTCCTTCTTCTTCTGTATCTCTCGCAGACTTGTGGTGAATATGTTCCCAGCGTCTCCTTGCTTGTATTCCACAGATGTCAACTTTTGGTTGTTACTTCCCAGGATTACTTCTTCTTTTTCTTGTTGTTTAGTCTCTTCCAGCTCTGTAGATATTGTTTCCCAATCAGCTGTGGATTCTTTCTCATTGAGGTCCTCAATACAAAGAGCAGAGTTGCCTGTTCCCAAGGTCATAGTCTCAAGTTGTTTGTTCATGGCCAAACTCTGCTCCTGTAAGATTCCCACCAATTGAAACATCCTTTCGATTTCCACTAGTAACTTTCCTTCCACAGCCATTGTATCCATTGTAGTTTCACAGAATTCCCCCTAGGGGGAATCTGGTTACTTATTTGCCTTTTCACCAACAATCCTTAAACTGATTATTATTACTTTGTTTCCAACAGTTTCAGCTCAATTATAACTCGTCTTAGTCCATAAAAATCTTAAATGGCAATTTCTCACTTTAAACCGCCCGTTTGGCAGCTTTGACAGCTGTCAAACTCCGCAGCTCTAACGCAGGCACGAAGGCAGGACGTTCCCGAGCCCGGGCGGGGGGGTTGTTTAAAACAGAAGGAAGGTTTCCAAAACTCCACTCTCCTGCACAAAATTTTCCTTTAGTAAAATCTTGAAAGTTAGTGTCCTTTTTAACTCACCCCACCAAGGGTAGGCTCTCCAGCTTATCTCTTGTGTCGTTGCTTAGATGGTCTGCAAAGGGGGGGGTGCGGACTTCCTTTTAGCACACCCCCCGGTCGTCTCCAATTAAAGGTAAAGTTTTTCAAAAGTCCCAATCCGTCTTACTCACGGGTGATTCTTTCAGTCCAAATTTTCAAGGAAGGGAGTCAACGCTCTCCGGTCATGGCTCGCGGCTTCGCTCCACCGAGGTAGCGATCGACTCTCAGTGCCACGCCACCCCCGTATCCCCTCCGCAGCCTTTAAAAAGGCTCTTTGCGAATCAGGGGGGGCGCTTAAGACACCCGCCGAGTCTTCAGTCCGCAGGCTTCAGCGCCTGCGGTTTTAAGGGTCCCCGCGTCGCCGGCGCGGCAAAGACCCATCCTCAGTGGAGCCGATTCCCTCCGGAGCTCGGAGGGAATCCGCCATTTCCAGATCGCGTCAACCCGGAAGTCTCCACATGACGGTATATGTTTTGACTCCACAGAGTGGGAAGTGACGGAGACAGGATGTTTGTGTTACCTTGTTCCATGAAGTGGGACTATTGTCCTCTGTTCTTTTTCCCTTTGCTCTCTGATGCTAGAGAGAGAGGGAGCCATGTTGCAGTGCTCCATGTGTGTTTATATGTAAATAAAGTAGATTAACCAAAATGCTGAGTTGCTGAGGTCTGTCACACAAGATGCACAAACTCTGCAGATCCCTAAGTATGCCGGTGTCGGTTGACACCGGTCGCTGTGATGTTGGGGCTGAAGAAAGTTTATGAAGCTCTCAAACGATCGACCAGGAGGGAGGGAACATGCCAGTTGGGTATGTTTCTCTGCCAGGGTCCTACTCGAGTGTAGGCTGAACTCCTGACAGGTTATACGTAGTGCTGCCTCTGAAGATGAAGTTGGAAACTTCAGCTGGTGCAGAATTCAGTGGCCAGGTTGTTTATCAGGGCAAGACTGTTTGTGCATATAACATTGATCCTGTCCTGACTTCACTGGCTGCTGCTTTGTTTCTGGGCCCAATTCAAAGTGCTCGTTTTGAGATCTAAAATGGCTCATGACCTCAATACCTCATGGACCGCCTTTCCCCATATGAACTGACCCAGATCCTGAGATCATAATCTGAGGGCCTTCTTCATATGCCTCCATGAGACGTCTGGATGGTGGCGACACAAGAATGGACGTTTTCTGTGGTGGCTCTCCATTTGTGGAATGCTCTCCCCAGTGAGGCTCTCCTAGTGCCTTCATGGCATATCTTTGGGTGACAAGAGAAAAGGTTTCTATATAACCAGGCCTTTGGCTGATTCTATGCCCTTTAAATGTGTTTGGGGGGGTTATTGGTGTATTTTGGTTTTATTATGTATTTTGTTTTCTCATTCTGTATTTTTATGTTGTGAACCGTCCTGTGATCTTCATATGAAGAGTGTTATACAAATATAATAAAAAAATATAATAAAAAATCATTGCATCAAAGGTAGTTGTGGGTAATCCAAAAGTATCTTAAGATTCTGCCTGCTCCTCATCAAATGGATCTAGGCCAGATTCACTGTGATTTGTGGATCCTAGGTAGATCTAACACTTACTTAGGCTATGGTCTTATTCAGGAGCTTTGAATTCATTGAGACTTATTTAAAAGCAAATAGAATTGTGCTGTTCAAAGTGTTTCCTCTTTTTTGTTTCGCTATTGCCAAACGAGATTATGGGGTTCTTTGCTTTCATCTATGTTTATTAATTTTCTTCAACAGTTTTTGGGATAATCAACGATGAGCTGAAGTCTGAAGATTTAGCTGCTCTAGAGGATGAACATCTGGCGAAGAAAGCAAGACGCAAAGGGGAGGAAGAGTAAGTTGAAATTACTTAATTCCAAGAGTTAAGAACTTTTTATAAAGCCATGGAAATTAATTGGTCCAGGTCAGATGTAACACTGCATGATCTCAGAACCATAGTCGGGCAATTCTCTCCTGCAGAGCAGATACTAACCCCTCTTTCTGTTTCCGAGCAAACTATGGGTAGTATTACAAATCATGTAGGAAACAGAATGCTGGACTAGATAGACCTTTGGTTTGATCTAGCAGGGCTCCTATGTCAGGGATGATGGCAGTTGCTATCCAACAGCATGTGAAAGGCCACAGGGTCTCTGTCTTAAAGAATAATGCCAAACTTATTGTTGTTAAAACATCCTTTCTTTCTCCTAAGTGATTCAGAAAGCTGCATGGATACTTCGGACACTGACACAGGACTCCCAGTAAGTGTGTCTGTGTTGAACTGTTGTCTGATGAAATGCATCTCTTTCTGTGTGTTCTAAGAATAGTTTATAGTTCTGAAACCAAGTGTATGCAGTGGATATAGATAAAAAGCCTTCAATCAGTAGTGGCCAGCCTTTTCTTCAAACCTACGTGAGATTCAGGTAGGTAGCCGTGTATCTGAAGAAGTGTGCATGCACACAAAAGCTTATACCAAGAACTAACTTAGTTGGTCTCTAAGGTGCTACTGGACAATTTTTATATATATTTCTTTTTTTAAAAAAAAGTATTAAAGTTTTAAACAATAGAACAAACTTCACAATCAAAACAAGAGAAAAGAGAAAAACATTATCATAATCAAATAAAAATAAAAAATACAGTAAAAAAACGTAAAAAATAGACAAGGAAAAAAAAAGACATTAAAAAAAAACATAAAAGTCCGATTTCTTACTTCTTGTTTTCATAACCCTCCTTCCAGACTCCCTCACATCTCCCTTTACAGTGTTCCCTTTTACACAATCATATTCAGCAGTACCTTACCCTCTTTCAAATCTTATTCTTTAATATACATTTCTAACTATTATGTCTCCAATTTTTCCCTTTATATCAATTTGTTTAAATTTGACATAATATTATTCTAACTTTTCCACCCTTATTCTTCTGAAACATTTTTTACATATTCCTTTCCACTATGTCACTAATGCCATATTTGTATCCTGCATCATTTTAACATTCATACAATTTGCAATGCTTTTGCAGGTAATCTTTAAATTTCTTCCAGTCCTCTTCCACTAGCTCTTCTCCCAGGTCTCGGATTCTGCCAGTCATTTCTGCCAGTTCCATGTAGTCTATCACTTGCATCTGCCATTCTTCCAGAGTGGGCAAATCTTGTGTCTTCCAATGTTTTGCGATGAGTATTCTTGCTGAATTTTTATAGATATTTCAACTATGTGAGATGGACAGCGCCACTCCTGGTACAGTGCATTATCATACATACGTAGCTCCTGCCATCTAGTGGCTTTGGCCGGTTTGCCTCTTATCTATTGAAGCAGGAGACCTGGTTTTGCCATAATCCAAACAATAACGCTCCTGTCAAGGTGTGCCACATACTGCTGCTTGTGTGACTTGTGACACTCACATTGCAAATTGATGTTGGAAATGGTGTGTGAAAGCAACCCTTAAAGAGAAAGGCATCGCAGAGAGCCAGAAAAATACTAATCCAGAACAGTAGAAATATATGAATTAAAGAAGCGTTATAATGGACTTCTTGAGAGATAAAACTAGGATGGAAGGAAATATCCTACAGAATGAGGAAAAACTGGATACCATTTACAGCCAGAAATTTTCTGAAGTGCAGATGTCAGATACTTCGAATAATTACTTTATATATAATTGGCAGATAGAGAAACGGACCTTCTTTTTCTATTTCTTATTATTTTTATTATTTTCTTCTTGTCTTTCTTTTTCTTCTTTCTAGACTTTCTTTTTCTCCTTATTCTTTTTCTTCTATTTTTTCTTTGTTAAGATATTTAATGTTTTAGTTTGGGGGAGATATTTGATAATGTTCTGTGTTTTTCTTTATGTTCTAATAAAATTTATTTTTTTAAAAAAGTGGGTGAAAGTCAACTACATATGTGCTTGTCCCAAGTCTGCCTTCACCTGGGCAGAAATAAGAAGTGCATGTGTGACTAAAATGCATAAGTGTTATTTGTTAAGTCAGTTACTTGCTGGGGAACTCTTGCCTACCTGTATAGGCAAGAAGGCAAGGGGTTGGTTACGGATCTGGTATATTTATAATGTACCATTCAGTATTTTGTGCATAATGTATTCTGTAGCTAAGCACACTTGGAAAAATAACTATGGTTTAAAAAATTCATAACCTTCCATTGATTCTTTTATAAATATATATTATATTTTTCAGCCCTCAAATCACATGAATTCATCTTTGTTGACCTTATACCGGAAAGGAAATCCAGATTCTCTTCCAGCATCTCCCAAGAGTTCGCAGACAATGTCCAGCACTCCTTCACAGAAGCCTGGATTGAATAGGCTTCCCACTCAAGCGCCATCAGATACTAGGATCTCAGAAGGTGGCTGGTTTATTGATAAAACCCCAGACAGGAAAGAGGAAAACTTTTTTATCGACCTTTGTGCAGAAGAAAGCGATGGTTCTAAACAGATGGTTGAGGTAATGTCTTGACATTAGTGAGAATTTCTTCCCTCTTTCCTGTCGAAAACTTAGGGTCAATAACAATAAAGCATACATCTAAAATATACTATTAAAATAGTTTTAGGAAGCTACGTTATTGCAGAAACTGAAACTCCTAAACTAGTATGACCTCCGCCAGCTAAAGGCAGTTCTAATGTTGTTGTTGTTTTTAACCCATTTCAGATGTTTTCAAAAACACAGTGGCTCTTGAAGATCAGTGAACGTGCTCAGTCCTTGGTTTATTTTTAAAAGAATGTTCTGTATTTCTGCATACTGCAAGATTCATCTGAGCATGGAGATTTTCCCCACTTGTTTCTCAGTGGCCTGGTTTTGGTTCCATTTGTGTTCTCCTGAGTTTGCAGTGAGAGGGAATCTCCTCACCAAAACTGAGACCATTTACACATCTTGTTGCATTGTATGATGACGCATAGCTTTGAGTAACAAGTTCCGTGTAATGTTTTGTCATAGTGTTGGCACAAACCCTGTTCTTTGTTTTCAGCCTTGCCTTAGTATATGGCTGGCTGCACATCTAGAAAACATCATTGTTTAACTTTTGACACACGTTCAGACTTTCTTGGCCTTAATCCCTCTGTTGACACATGTAAAATGCACCCCAAGGCTACTGGGGGGGGGAACCATATAACCTTTTTTGTGCCTGTCTCCCACACCTCGCATGTTCCAGGTAGTCCTCAGCCTAGATGAGATGTGAATGGTCATGTGGTGTTTCAGGGTCCCTCTTCCTTAATCCAATGGAAAATCAGTGTTTTGGCAGCTTTTTAGCTCAATTCTCATCCTATTTGAATGACTGAGAGAATTAATCAAAAAAGCAAAACAAAAGCCAACCATGCACACATCAGGTTCTGGGGAGTCAACGGGCTTTTTGCAAAATGTTGTTTAAGGTTATTAGTTGCTCATTATCTATAGCTGCTTAGCCCAGAACCTGTTCTTCTCATGTTGCATGAGAAAGCAGCACATAATGTGTAAAACAATATTTTGTCTATTTTATGACAAATCATAACGTTATCAGGGTCGATAGGACCACACAGCTTTCCAGACACCCTTATCTAGCTTGCATTGTTTAAACATTCCCCCCCCCCCTTAGAGCCTTCCTTGTGACGCACTAAGACTGGGTTTGTCTAATCACATCATTTTGTGTAAAACTTTCTAATCTAGTCACTGACACCCCAGCTGTTTACAGACAATCAGTATCCTCACTTTGGCAGGTGGCCAGACTTAAGGCCGGCTCTCAGGGTCTTTCAGTGACTCACCTCACGAGTTACTAGGACTCACAAGTTCCTTGAGCTTGTGACTTTGAGCCTGCAAGACAAGTACGCTTAAATGACTGTGTCTTGGCTTTCCCCCCTGCAAGGATAAGCTTATACACTCTTAACATGCCAGCCAAACCCACAAGGTATGGCATAACAGTTTGGCTGTGCTGCGATTCCAAAGAAGAGAGAGAAACAGGGAGAGAAAGGGATAGATAGAAAGAGAGAGAAAGGGAAGGAAGCAGCCCAACATCTAAGCCAAACAGAGAGCTGGTAAGTTAGTCATCACTTTGCCACCCACCGGGAAATAGCTAATAAAAGATTGACTGCAGTTGGCATGTTATAAAACAAACCAGAAATGCCTTTCTCACAAATCCAGAACGATCGGCGGCAGTTTTTATATAGTTTTTAAGAAGGTTTGGCACTTGAAAGGAAGTAGATCAAGCAGATCAAGAGAAAGGGAAGGTTTGTGAAACCTGCAAGCAGGATTTGAGCCCCAGAGCACCCCCGTACTGTAGTTCTGCAACTGGTCTTCAAGAAGCATTACTGCTTCCAATTGCAGAGGCGCTCCTCTTTTGAAGCCATCTAGGTTGGTGGCCGTCGCTGCCTTCCATGGGAGCGAGCGTCATAGTTTCACCATGCACTGCATGAAGAAGCGCTTTTATCTCTCCTGAATTTTCCAACTTTCATTTTCCCTGGATGTCTGGGCATTTCTTGTGTTATGAGGGAGGGTGAGAAAAAAATCTATCTCCTTGCACTTTCTCCATACCATGCATAATTGTATCAACTTCTATCATGTCTCCACTTACTCACCTTGTCTCTGAACTTAAAAGTCCCAAATGCAGCATCCTCTCTTCATAGGGGAGTTGCTGCATCCCTTTCATCATTTGGGTTGCCCTTTTCTGAACCTTCACCAGCTCTACAATAATCTTTTGGAGGCGAGGCAGTCACAGGAACATTATGCTTAAGTAAAAGTATTATCTGCCCCAATCATGCAGTTGTGTAATGTGATTGTACGTAGGCTATTTGTGTTATGTAGCATGTGTTGTTACCAGCAATTCACAACTCTTCATATTGTGCAGCTATTGGTGCAATCCAAACCGTGACTTATCAGAAGTAAGTCGTACTGAATTCAATTGGGCTTTCTTCCCAGGGGTTAAGATTGCAGCCCATTAATTGTATGTTGATGGTACTATATTATTAAAAACAGGGGAATTAGTCATACCCAAACTACTGCTTGTGTCGTTTTTTGTCCCTGTTGGGGTAACCCTAATAACTTGTGTGCAGCTATATTTTTTGCTAGTAAAGGGAAAGTCTAAATGAATACTTTTTTTTAAAGCTTGCAACTGATGTCATACTTAATAACTTCCGCTGGGCATTTTATTGGCATTTCCTTCATGGGGTACATTTGGCTCCAGTACCAGTTCATTTTTCTATTAATTGAGTTAAAAGTTTTTTTTTTAAAAAAATAATACTGCTTTTGGTGTGACTTACTGGGTAAAGAATGTCAGCAGACTAAATAGAAAAATCTTATTTGTACTCTAGGATTCAAAAGACATTTCCTTTCTGGAGAAACCCAAGAGGAAGAGAAGTAAAAGGAGGAACGAATCTCAGGAAGTAGATGAAGAAATAGAATCTGCTTTGAGAAAACAGAAGAGTAAGAGACATTGCACTAAAGAATATTTAAACAAAGAAACAAGAAAGCCCCTTCTTATTCCTCTGGCTCTTTTGTAAATGTAATACCTTGTTCTGTCCAATCTTTTCATAATTCCATCCCCCCCCCCGTGCTTTCCATGTACTTGATGAGAATACCTCACAGATTGTGTTCTCACTCTCCTAGTAATATCTCCATTTTTCCTTACAGTTAAACAGAAAGGGTTTGAGCTGAGAACTTCTTCCGTGAAGTTTGAGGATATAGGAGGCAATGATGACACTCTGAAGGTTAGAGTTAACTAAACTCTCTGGGCGGGATTCAACTAATGAGTGCCATCAGTGAACGCCCTGCGCAAAGACAGTGCTCTCCCTCAACCCTGCACTGGCTTTGAGTGGCTGAGGAGAAACCCAGAGGGTAGGAGGAGGGGCTGTTGTGACTGGCAAGTTGAAAAGCTTGCCATAACAGAACAGTCACCTTAGCTCAACATTGAATTCCTCCCTCTGACTGGATAAAAGTTGTCAAGAAAATCACTTATACAGTGAAAGAGATGAGCGTCTACATAATGCTGAGGGTTGTTTCATGCAGCATTATTTAGGTGTAAGGCTATTTTTAAAAGCTGTAAGCCACAAATCCTGAATCAGTGCTTTGCCTCGCAGTGAAAGAAATTAAAACTCTATTCTGAGCTAACCTCAGTTTAGCTGTAAAAAACTAAATTCTACAGACTTGCTTTATTGCATGATTCCGCTTTTGCTAGCAGTAGGAGAGTAAACTGAAGCACTAGCCTTAGATACCTTAGGAATGCTATGATTGCACCAGGCATTGTTCACAGACTTTCAAGCATATCTTCAGCCTTCAGGGTTAGAAACTTCCATGTCTTAAAATGAAAGGTGCTCTCTGACCCAAGTGCTATCTCTGCACTTGTGATAAAGACACATAGTGCTGTTAATAACATTTGCAAAGATGAGATAATGCAGAATTTACTTATTTGCATCGGTCGGAATCCATTTACTGGTTGGGTGTGATTTCATATGGTGACAGGGCAGGAGAACACAGAATTCTGGGAGGATGTGAAAACTGTTAACTGTTACAAAAAGTAAGATAGGACCATTTTCCCCCCATTTTCACTGTAGGAAGTGTGCAAGATGCTGATACATATCTGTCATCCTGAAGTATACAACTATTTAGGAGCTGTTCCACCGCGAGGATTTCTCTTGCATGGACCACCAGGGTGTGGGAAGACGTTATTAGCTCAGGCAATCGCTGGGGTGAGACTATTGGTGTATACTTTTTCTTGCTCTGCCTTCAAACCTCAGGTGTATTTGTATTTTTAATGCAGGTGGAGATGGTTTTAGGCATGTCTAATATGTATGTGACTGTGTGCGTGCACATCGCACCAAACCTGGAAGTGACCCCAAAAATCACAAAAATGTCACAAAAGGGGCAGGGGCGGAATGGGGTGCTTGCAGGTATTTTCAGTGGTGTTTCAAATATGCGCGGTTTCACTTAAAAACCATGGTGCTTTGGAACATAGCCTCCACATAAATGGGAAGTTGCCTGTACACAAGTACTTCTGCTAGTTCTTGCATTCAAGATGTTACAGAATACATTGCAAAGTAATAGCTGGTGAAGCTCAAAACCTGCATTAAAAAAACAAACCTCCGTACAGCATTTCTGTAACATCTTGAATGACAGTGCTAGTGGAAGCACTGTGAAAAGCACTTTAAAATGTTGACGCTGCATGGGCCTCTTCCTGCTTTGTATGTCATGGTGCCCAGTACTTTTTTGAATAGAGGGGAAAGAATTTTGATACACATCTCTTCTCTTCCTGCAGGCCAGGCCTCCCAGGAGGTCATCTAGGGTCTCCTCAATGGTTGCCTTTCCTTGTCTTTTAAATGGTACTGTACAAGGGAGTAGCACACCCTGGATAACTGCAAAATCTCATGACACTGTTATCTGTTCTTTTTGTTCATTGCCCATTGAATCAAGGTGTGATATTACTCTCCCTTCCACCGTTCAGCCCTCTACGGTAGAGGCTTCTGTAAAATGCCTGAGCCTTGGTAAGGGTCTATCCTACAATACAGTGGTGCCCCGCAAGACGAATGCCTCGCAAGACGGAAAACCCGCTAGACGAAAGGGTTTTCCATTTTGGAGGTGCTTCGCAAAACGAATTTCCTACGGGCTTGCTTCGCAAGACGAAAATGTCTTGCGAGTTCCTGCAGGGGTTTTTTCCTTCCCCCCCCCCTTTTTCCCAAGCCGCTAAGCCGCTTAACAGCTGATCCGCTAAGCCGCTTATCAGCTGACCCGCTAAGCCGCTTATCAGCTGATCCGCTAAGCCGCTAATAGCGCTAAGCCGCTAATGGGCTTGCTTCGCAAGACGAAAAAACCGCAAGATGAAGAGACTCGCGGAACGGATTCTTTTCGTCTTGCAAGGCACCACTGTAATCTTGTTTTGTGTTCATTTGTGTTTGTTTTTCTAGGAGCTTGAACTGCCAATACTCAAAGTAGCTGCTACTGAGATTGTGTCGGGAGTGTCAGGTGAATCGGAACAGAAGCTAAGGGAACTGTTTGAGCAAGCTGTGGTAAGACCAGCAGGAAACAGTCTTAAAGCCTTTTATTAATTCACTTGACTGAATCATTTCTACACACAAATTTAAAAGTGGAGAAAGGTGCATTCTCATCTAACATCTTGGCAGGAAGGCAAATTTCCACTTATCAGAATACTAGCTGTGAGTTGGCTGTAAAATTGTTCCACTTATTTTTGTAGAAAAAAATATAAATAGCTGAAACCCAACCTCTTTACAGCTTCTATTAAAAATCTCTGCTCAATAGAATCAAAACCTTTTTCTGCATTAAAATTAAAACCCAAATATTGTCTTTGCTGCCAAGTGTAGTTTTTCTAACATTTCATGATGGTTGTCTTCCAGCTATAAATTTTGTTCAGTATGGTCTCTGAGAAACTTATTTGCTAAATAATATTGCTGCCAAGATCAAATGATCTGCATTCAGCAGGCATGTAGATCTTTATGATTCTCCAGGTTCTTTTCTACTTTGAATTAGGATGTGTCTGTTTCTTTATATAGTCTGTTATGCAAAAGGTTTTAGAGGAAGTTGTTTTAATGTGTGTCATATGCTAGCTCTGACAGTACAATAACTCCTTTCAAAACTATTCAGACAATACACAGTGCTTATGAGTTTCAATGTCACTTTCTCTTTAGTTTAATGCTGGACATTTCGTATTGTCCAAACATAGTGGTGTGTTTTGGTAATTGGAATCAACTTCATTTTATTGACTCGCTCCACAGTCAGACAGCTCTAAAAGTGGTGCATATGCCAGTTTCGCATTGCACCGCCATGTTCCTTATTAAAACCTGTATTTTCCTGCAAAGGAGAAAATCTATTTTGGTTTTGAATAGTTTTTTCTCCATACAGTAGTAATAGAAATAAAATGATGGCTTATGAATAGACACAGAAAAGGGTGCAGTCCAAATCAAGTAACTCAGTGGGGGGTTTTTTGGGGGGGGATAGTGGATTTGACCAATACTGCATCTTGCATTTTTGTATTGGTGCTGCTGTTAGTCCATGCATAAGGGGGGGAAACTGTTTATTGAATGGATATAGTAAAAATTAAGGAAGCACCTGCAATTATTAATTGTGACTCAATGTGCTGGGGGAGGCAGAAGGTGCAAGGGGACATATTTTGATAACTCTCATTCATTCTGTCACACCCCGACTCTCTTTTCATGTGTGTTTGTCCCATTCCCTTTTATTGTGCTTATACCTTTGGTAGATACCCTATGCAGACCTCTTTCCAGCACAGAGCACTTGCTAATATGTATCCGATTGGGTGAAAAGTTTTGTTTTAACTTTTAACAGTTGGTACCTTGCTGTTCTTTCAACAAGTATTTATTTGAAATTATAAAACAAAAAAATCATAATATGCTAAGAGTTACTTAATCATTTTCTGTGTTTGTGCTGATTTCTTTTTTTATCATTATTATTTCTAGGCCAATGCTCCATGCATCCTCTTCATAGATGAAATTGATGCTATCACACCCAAGAGAGAAGTTGCCTCAAAGGACATGGAGCGGAGAATTGTAGCGCAGCTTCTGACTTGCATGGATGGTCAGGGCTTTTTTATTCTAGTAAAAGTGCTCTATCAAACCTGCTTTTTAAATTGGATCTTGCTCTTTAGGTGAAATTTCAGCTGAATATCATGTCAGCTGCAGATTTCCAAGTACCAAATCAGCAAATTACAGAGGGGTAATTTGTGATAATGTTTACCGAAAGCAGAAAAAAGGGGGTGTGTGTATCTTGTGGCACCTTAAGGACTAATTGAGCTGATGTGGCAGGAGCTTTCAAGGGCCGGAACTCACTTTGCCAGATGCATTAGATACTTTCAGATGACAACCGTGTTTATACATGCTGATGGGTCCAATGTTGAACCTCTAATCTTCCACATTTTGAAGGACTCTAAATTCAATCAGCCACAACCAGCATGATCAGACATGCTGGGAGCTGAAGTTTACCAACATCTGTATACCTGGTATAGATAGAAAAATGTGCCAGGAGACCACAATGTCAAGCAATGTAAAAGGCAAGAGTTGGGTGTGTCACAGTATTATGCAGATAGCACAGATGAGTACAGACTCCAATGAATTGAATGCACAAGGTCTAGTCAGCCTTGTAATGACTTTCAAAAGAGCAACTCAATAGGAGTTCAATCAGCATTTCTGAGTAAATTAACACTATCGTTGCTATTCTGAAGGGTCATTTAGCATACACAAAAACTGGTTAAATTTTTCACAAAACTCCCTCCTTTATATTCTTCTCCCACTCCAATTGTAACTGTGTGTCCTCTTGACAAGTGAGACCACAAAAATGTATGCAGTAATAAGATTTGTTAATCTCTAAACTGTTACGGGTGGCGCTGTGGGTTAAACCACAGAGCCTAGGACTTGCCGATCAGAAGGTCGGCGGTTCGAATCCCTGTGACGGGGTGAGCTCCCGTTGCTCGGTCCCTTCTCCTGCCAACCCAGCAGTTCCAAAGCATGTCAAAGTGCAAGTAGATACCACTCCAGTGGGAAGGTAAATGGCGTTTCTGTGCATAGCTCTGGTTCACCAGAAGCGGCTTAGTCATGCTGGCCACATGACCCAGAAGCTGTACCAATAAAGCGAGATGAGCGCCACAACCCCAGAGTCGGTCACGACTGGACCTAATGGTCAGGGGTCCCTTTACCTTTACCTTTAAGCTGTTGCAAGACCCTTTCTGATAAGTAGGTGTTGTAACATCAATAGTGCAGAGACAATTGCTCCACCCATGTACTACATCAAGGGATAGAAGGCAAACTAAAACACACCACAACATGGACAGATACTATTCCCGTCAACTTGGATGTGTGACTAGCAGGTCAGCCCTTGTTAAGCTTGGTTGGGCCTTGAAGTTGCCACACCAAGACACTTGAGAAAAGGGAGATGGGACCCACCCCACCCCTTTACCTCTGTTGTAAATCCAGCCCAATGCCTCCAGTACCTGTCCAAACGGTTGTGATGAATTATAGAAAGCTATAACAACCCAACAAATGCTGTTGCTACGGGAAGGGCAAAAGGTCTACTTCGTGAAGCCAACTGGGAGAGCATAAAATTCCTTCCCAGCCTTGGCAAGTGACGTTTGTCCAGAGCAAGATCATGAGCAAAACTGCAACATGACAACTGGTAGAAGGCAAGTCTGTGTCAGTGCTGGTGGGACCCTAATTTTATAGCTTGGGCATGGGACAGAAGGAAGTGGTTCTCGCGCCGCCTTGCATTGAGGCCCTGTTCCCCAGAAGCTGACTGGTGTAGCCAGGAAGCAGGATTGAATTCTCTGTGCATCTGTTGATTGGCAGGGAGTTCAATCCTGATCACAAAGGGTTTTGCACTGAAACCCCGGCTAAAGGTCCCCCAGCCCCATTTCATTTTAATGTAAACTGCTTTCTGCTCCTGGAGCAAGGTGAGCAAGCTTGGATCTCTTGCCCATCACCTGCTTTTGGGAGATGCTTGCCTTACTGCCCGCGAGGTGCTTCAAAGTCCCGGTGCTTGGACTTTTAAATGCCAAATCGGGTGATTGACAGGCAGGTGGCCCTGCCCCCTGTCAGTCTTGGCCTATAAGGCCAATCCTGATGGAGATCTAGCATGCTGAGTTTCCTTACCTGTTTTATGTGTTCTTCTCTCCTAGCCCAGTATTATCACTGCCAAAGAGCTATAGCAGACATGCTGTGCAGTCCCAGCATTCCCTGTAGCATCATCGCTAGTAAAAGTTGGTGGTACACACCTGAGTTGTGTACTGAGGGTATATAGCACAAATAATGCTTTCCTAACAGCAAAGCGTACTTTCCTTTGCCTGTGAGTTTATTGTTTTTCCTTCATCTTTCAGACTTGAATAATCTGGCTACTGCTGCTCAGGTCCTAGTAATTGGGGCAACCAACAGACCAGACTCACTGGACCCAGCTCTGCGACGTGCAGGAAGATTTGATCGAGAGATTTGTTTGGGGATTCCGGGTGAAGCAGCCAGAGAGAAGTGTGTGAGCTTTGCTTTTAAAGTTGTTGTTTTTTTCAAAAAAAATGTTCAGTTTATGGCTTGCTAGCTCTTGAATCCAAAAGTTTCTCTTAAACTTTTAACTAAAAAAAAAGCAAATATAGCTGCTGCTTCTGTTGTAGTACAGGAAAAAATCTGTGTCAGATTTTTCCCTGTAGCATAGACGTCCCAATTCAGACATTTGGCCAATAAAGCAATAATACGGAAAGAGTAGCATGGCTTGTTTAGGATTTTTTGAGGAGTCGATGCCTTCATGCTATGTTTTCTCATAGATTTATTCATTTTCTATTCAGATGCTTTGGTTTTGGTTCACCTATTACAGGAGTAAGCAGATTAAGGGCTTGTGGGATCTACTTCGCTTTTTACTAGGACCTCGAGACTCACCCTGGTGCAAAAGACAACTCTGAGCCCAGGAAACTTGCTTTGAGTAAAAATCTATTCAGCAATCTAATTTGGGACACTGGAGCGGGAGGGAGAACATTAATTTTGTTACTGGTATTGTTTAAAGTTTAAGCAATGAAAAAATGGATCATTCCTGTGGATCTTCTGCAAATCATGCAGAAATCCACCAAAGTTTAATAAATTATAAATATCTCTGCCCCTTTCATAAGCTCTGGGACAAATAATTCAATAACTTATGATTTATTTTCTTTCTTTCTTTCTTTCTTTCTTTCTTTCTTTCTTTCTTTCTTTCTTTCGTAAAGACTAAAACTGTAGTAACTTCTTCCTTTTTCTTCCCTTTGCCAGAATTCTGAAGACATTGTGTCGAAAACTTAGATTGCAGGAATCTTTTGACTTTGGTCATTTGGCTCATTTGACCCCAGGCTACGTCGGTGCTGATCTCATGGCACTGTGCCGTGAAGCTGCAATGTGCACTGTGAATAGAGTTCTCATTAAGCTGGAGATGGAGCAGCACAAAGTCCTGAGAAGTAATGAAAGGCCATCTGGACAAGACATGGAAAAGGATACTGAAGAGCTTGTAAGACAGGTTATCAAAGAGCCAGATCTTCCCACTATGGTATGTATTTTCTTTGTATCCTTTCCCTGTATCCTACTATAACTCTTCCTTAACTTTTAATATTTCCCACTTTGTATATATGCATTAGTATCTCCTTCATTGGGGCAAACTTTGCAAAAGCCTGACAATGGTCTATTAGGAGATGCATGTGGTCCTCCATATGTTGCTGAACTACAATTCCCATCAGCCCTAGCCAGCATGGCCAAAGGTTAAGGTTGCTGGGAGTTGTAGTCCAACAATGTTTGGTGGGCCAAAGGTTTCACAGCCCTGAACTATAACATCACAAAGTAGCAAGCAAACTTTTGAGTTCCCCAGAACTCATTTTTGGACTGGATGTTCAGTAAAATGATGAGGGAGAACCAGATATACTTCCCTGAGTTCGTTGGAACAAACGTGGGATTAAAATGTAGTAATTATAATAGTTTAAAAAAACTCCTTTAATCCTCTCCTTGTAGTGTACAATTTTCAGAGCTGGTGGGATCAGTTGATGAATAAACTTTTATTTACTTCTTTTATTTACTTATGTAGGAAGAATTTATGAGCCACTTGATTTTTTAAAAAACCTAAGCAGTATTAGTAATCAATAATATAAAAACAAAATTACTGTATGTACATTTATTTTTAGAAGAATAAAAATGTGTTAAATTGAAGGGCAAGATTTAATAAATGGCAAAACCTACAAGTACAAAGAGCAGTGCAAATATGTTCAATTAAAGAGATTTTCCCCCCCCCTTTTTTTTTTTAAGAAAAGAGCCTTGGCTTCTAAGGGTCATGCATAAGCAAAAAAACAAAAACAGAACCATAAACTTTTATTGCGCTAGCCAAAGGCCATGGCATCTTCCAAAGAAGGGGGGAAAAACAGCAGTAGCTACGCATGCAGTAAAACCATGATCAAATCCACCAGAATTCCTTATTACGCAGAATAAAAAGTAATTCTCAAAAGAAATGTGCAGATTAGATCTTGCCGTCTCCTTCATAAGCCAGTAAGACATGAATCTCTGGCATTCTCTTGGAATACATAAACACATTAATGGAATGCAAGACAGTGAATTGCCTACTAAAGTTAATTAGTTTGTGCTTGTCTGGAACTCAATTGTTCCTGCAATATTTCACTACAAAAGGATGCTGTTAAGTCATAGTAGTCTTTGGCCAGTTTCAAGCATGTTGTAATCAAACTCCTGCCTTCATTGTTATTTATCCATACATGATTAAACTTTAGGAGGTTCTCCCTCTAACCTGTTCTTGTATTTCCTGCTACTCCTGATCTTTCTTCTCTAGGATGAATTGCAGAGGCTACTCCAGTTGCTAAAGGAACCGGACCCCCTTGGGGAAGATCAGCTGCAAAAGCTATGCATTGAGTTGAATGATTTCATTGTTGCGCTCTCTTCGGTGCAACCCTCTGCCAAGAGAGAAGGCTTTGTTACAGTCCCCGATGTGACGTGGGCGGATGTGGGCGCCCTGGAGGATATTCGGGAGGAGCTCACCATGGCAATACTGGTAGGGGCTGGACGCTGCTACAAAGTCCTGTTAATGCACGCGAGGCTGAAATAGCTTCTGGAGGTTAAGCTGTGCGATTCTTCCAGGGCATTTTTGTGGGTTTTTTCGCTTGAAAGAATATGAGAGGAAACGAGCTGCATTCTTGGCCTATCGAGGTTGCAGGAAGCAAGAAATTGTGTAGTGGTTTCACTTGGAAATGGAGGCTTATTGACTAAAGTGCGACATTAAAATTAGCCAGCAGCTTCCTTTTCAAGTCAAGTCAGAATATAGTTTGAGGAAGCAGTACATAGAAAGGAGACATTGCAGTTCCAAGTAGTTCTTTCTGTCGGACTCCAGCACCAATGAGTCTTGGCCAGGCCTAGCTGGCCACAGGTTCCCCCATCACTTGTCTGTAGTATAGTCCTCTTGAGGACTGAACTGTTCCTTTTTTAAAAGGAGAAACAAGTGCTACAAAGAGTAACTGCAGTGTGCAGACAGCTGTTACCAGAGATTTGGATGGAGGGAAATACAGACACACCCTGAGTTGGTAATGCATTAAAACAAACAAGTCCTTTTTTAATTTAAGCTTGAGACTTGTAGGTGTAACACTGGCTCCCTATATCCCATGGTTTACAAATTGGGCGCCAGGCTCGGGAGTAACAACAACAACAACAACAACAACAACAACAACAACAACAACAACTCATTATTTATACCCCGCCCATCTGGCTGGGTTTCCCCAGCCACTCTAGGCGGCTTCCAACAAAACACTAAAATACAATACCCTATTAAACATTAAAATCATCTGGTGAGTGGGCGTTCCACAGGGCGGGTGCCACTACCGAGAAGACCCTGTGCCTGGTTCCCTGTAACTTGGCTTCTTGCAGTGAGGGAACCGCCAAAAGGCCCTCGGAGCTGGACCTCAGTGTCTGGGCTGAACGATGGGGGTGGAGACGTTCCTTCAGGTATACTGGACCGAGGCCATTTAGGGCTTTAAAGGTCAGCACCAACACTTTGAATTGTGCTCAGAAACGTACTGGGAGCCAGTGTAGGTCTTTCAAGACCGGTGTTATATGGTCTCAGAGGCCACTTCCAGTCACCAGTCTAGCTGCCGCATTCTGGATTAGTTGTAGTTTCCGGGTCACCTTCAAATGTAGCCCCACATAGAGCACATTGCAGTGGTCCAAGCGAGAGATAACTAGAGCATGCACCACTCTGGCGAGACAGTCCGCGGGCAGGTAGGGTCTCAGCCTGTGTACCAGATGGAGCTGGTAAACAGCTGCCCTGGACACAGAATTAACATGCGCCTCCATGGACAGCTGTGAGTCCAAAATGACTCCCAGGCTGTGCACCTGGTCCTTCAGGGGCACAGTTACCCCATTCAGGACCAGGGAGTGCCCTGTTGCCCCACACCAGAGAACCAGCAGCTGCTGGGAGCTTGCTTCTCTTCCTAATAAAAAGCCCAGAAAAACTGACAGCTTAATTTTCTTCTTTTGGAATAGCCTGGTTGCTGTGGTTTTTATAAGACCTTCCATATCCCCATTCAGGCTTCCTATCTATCTGTTTGTGTCTTGTGTTGTGCTTCTGTCAACTATTGGTATAGGCTGCCCTGCCTTAGAGAGGGCCTTTTGAGAGCTATATATTTTATGTAAGTTTTGAAACCCCTTTCATATTGAGTGGCCGCCTCCAAAGGCTACAGTCGAGTTGGGAAGCAGGACCATTCCAGAAAGTTCTATTTGGCTCTTCCTCTCTCGACTGTTTTCATCCCAGCTGATCATTTTTATAAGGACTGCTATTAAGTTAGTGTCTGAGTTTATATCCTTTTCCTCTTCACTTTATAATCCTATTTAATCTTTTGCGCAATATATATTTTTTCTGCAGATTTTAAGCCTTTGGATAGGGACTGTCTTATGAATGCCACCCTGGAAGTCTTTTCCAGCTAAATAGCTGGGTAAAGAAGTTTTTTAAAAGCAGACAGAAAGGCCTAGACAGGGCTAGAGCAGAGTCTACTTCCCCCAAGTTGCCTCAGCACTTGCTGCCACCTCCCCTTGTCCTTGACATGTTGGAGGCTGAAGATAGACCTCTTTGAGACCCAAGAGAATTTTTGTTAGGACCCACCCTCTTGTGACTGTATTTCTTTAAAACTGCTTTTAATGTCGTCTTTTAAATTGTTACCTACCCTGGGACCTTATGGCAAAGGGATGTTGAGGATGATGGTGCGACTACTACTATTACAAATAATTAAGCTGATTAATTCCACCCACGCCTTGGCCATCTTTGCAAGCATTCTGTATACATAATGTCAGAGCCCAGGCGCCTCTCCCCTACCCCCACCCATGTAAATGAGGATACCAGAGTTTACGCTGTTGTTTGGGTTGAATGAATGAATTTATTAATACGGCCACAGACCAGCTTCAACACACACAATATCACAGATCATAAAAAATATCAGAAATACAAGGGACAATATGACAATAACAAGGATTTAAATATAAAAATTAAAATTAATTGTTAGCGTGCCCCCTGTAATTAACATTTAGGGGATTGGACATTATGGGATACCACTTGCTTCCTGCGATTGATTGCAGACGCACAGAATTTAGCTACATTTAATGTAGTCTTGGGCTTCTTGTCCTCTAGCAGTAGTTTTAGACTATGGTATTCCGATTCTTTCCTAGACTTTTGCAAAACAGGTGTAATAAAAGTCAAACGTATATCCTCATAAAGACGACAACGTAATAGTACATGTGAAGCAGTTTCAACTTCCAACGAGCCACAAGGACAGACCCGTGCTGTGTATGGTTTACCCTCAAATCTGCCCTGAAGTAAGGCAGAAGGGAGAACGTTAAATCTGGCGAGGGTAAAAGACCGTCTGTATTTGGGTATCTGAAGACCTGACAGATAGTTAGCTGGAGAGAAACCTCTCCCATGGTCCCTTATTGCTGGATGTTTGATCATTTCGCTCATGTGGCATTGTAATTCTACGTCCCAGATACGCTGGCGGATTGTAGTCCTAGCTTTCTCGAAGCCTGTCGCTATCAGGGTTTGCTGTGGGATCCCCAAGCCTTTAAGCTTTCCCAGCAGTTGTTGTTTGGGTTGAGCGCAAGGAGTCAACAACAGAGGACTTGAACCTGGGCTTCCTTGCTGCTCGGCATTCCACCATGCCATCTCTGGAGCAGCCGCATGTTTGTGGCCTGGTAGTTGGCTGCTTGTATGTGTAGAAGTAGTTATGCATGCTGTGTTGACTTACGCTGGTTTGATGGTGCTGGGGCCCAGCAGCAAAAGTATGGGAGGTTGACTTTTCAAAGACTTCCTTCCAAGCAATATTCCTTTCCTTTGAAGACCTTACAACACACAGCACCATCATTTGCAGGCCTCGGTCGATACTGCTTCTTATCAGTTGCCCCTATGCTTGAGAAGACAGCAAGTGCTGTGAACACAAGTTATCCTTAAGCTCTTTTGGACAACTTTAGCAGGTCTTTTCTTTTTTCATGTAGGGCAGGAGTGGAGAATCTTTTTGGCCCAGCAGGCCAGATCTTTCTCTCCCACACCCATGGGCTAGCTTTGACAGCTGGGCAGAACCATCTACCTGCCAATCATCTGGGGTCATAATGTGGGGGGAAATAGTGACCAAGCAGGATAGAACCCCTGGACAATCAGCTAATTGTTGGAAACTGGCCCCCTCGGGAAAGGCTGACTCCTATTCCCAGACTCTTCGGGGCCTGTTGCCGGGGACCTTCCCTGGCTGGCTGGCATCCCGGCAGACCAGGGAGATCTTGATAGGCGACACCTCCCTTGTGAAAGGTGCACACCCCCTTCCCCTTTGCATAGCAGCAGGAGAAAGAAGACAGTCAAAAAGTAGTCTATTTCATCTCTACTTTTATTCCTGACTGTACAAAACATGTCTGCTCACTCGGAAGTCTTCGAGCAACTGACTCAGACTACCCGGACACAAACAACAGGAAGGTCTCATGTTACAGAGAGAACATAAGCCTGTGAATCACCCTGTGAACTGCCTGGAACATCCTGCCCCACGCTTAGGCACATCATGTGATGTAAACATCGAGCTGCTTGTTCGCAGCTGTGGAGAATTCATATCCCAACACTAATGAGCTGCGGGGGAGTCGGGTCAATCATACTTTCTGCCATATCGAACCTGCCCATCAGCTGACATCACCTGCCCATTGAGGTGATATCACCTGATTGTCAGGTGGGCGTGGCTTCAGAAAATTGGAACTCTGGTGGACCAGGATTTGTCCAAGGTTCCCCAGTCCTGATGTCCTCTTGAGACTTCAGAATCTTTCAACTGTACCAAAGGTGTGTCTCCCTCGGGAGGTTGTGAACTCTCCTTCCTTGGAGGTTTTTAAGCAGAGGTTGGATGGCCATCTGTCATGGTTGCTTTAGCTGAGATTCCTGCATTGCAGGGGGTTGGACCAGATGACCCTTGGGTCCCTTCCAACTCTATGATTCTATCAATAGCTGGCACTTCCATTTTCACCCACCAACGACTCTTGTTACAGGCACCCGTGCGGAATCCTGAGCAATTCAGAGCCCTTGGCCTCTCGGCTCCAGCTGGTGTGCTGCTTGCTGGCCCTCCTGGTTGCGGCAAAACGCTACTTGCTAAGGTAACGTTGATATAATCATAGTAACACCTTCTACTAAGGGATATGGAATCACATTAAATGGGTGTCTCACATCTGGAGCTCCACTGTGTGTCTTGCGTCCGAACCAGCTTGGGCCTCTTAGTATGCTTTGGACTTGTGGGTCTCTCCTGAAGATCATTTTGCACTTGTTTCTGTCCTGCAAGCATAAAGCAATCAGGCAAGTGTGGCATTGCTACGAAGTAGTTGTGTGAAGTACTCCTACAAGATGCACTGGTGGCCACTAATTTGTGTGGGTTGGAAAGGGTGTTGCCAGGCTTCAGGGACTTGGCGTCCTCCCACCCTTTGGCAGTAGATAAGCAGAACAAAGCGAAAGGAGTGTCTTACCAGTTAGACATTTTAATGATCATAGTGAGAGAACAAAGAATCCATCTCTAGGAATGAAGGTGTGCATCCAATTAAGGATTCCACCCACTTCCCCACTTGTCACTTCCGGTGTCTTGCAACCTGATCTCGCAGCCACTGTGCTTTCTCTGCTGCCGCCTTATCTGCTTTCCTTGATCTTGGACTGAGTGGATGGATGCTTTCCAGCGAAAGGGAGTCTGTTAACTCTCTCTCTCCCAGTTCTTCTTCTCCTAGCTGTTCACCACCCAGTTCTTCCCAACTTCGGTCTTCTGAACTATGTCCCTCTGCAAGCCACTGTTCCAAATCTATACTGTCCTCCTGCTCCTGGGAAGATTCAGGATCCTGAGCAGGGGGAGGCTCCCTCCATTCCTCCTCAGTGCAGCCCTCCTCAGCATGATCCCTTACAGGTATTGAGTAAATTCATGGAGGATAGGAGTCTCAGAGGATATTGGTCCTGATGGTTAGAAGGGAAACCCCCATTCTTCCCATTTCCCCCTCATTCGCATACGGTGCTGTGACCTGGTTTTCTTCAACCTGGTGCCCTCTAGATGTTTTGGACTGCAGAATAGCCAAGTAGCCAGGGATGGCACTTGGTTGTACCAGGTCACACCATTTTTAACCAGCTCGGTCTGCAGAGCTTTCGGTCATATAAGTGGTTTGCTGCACCTCTTTCTGAATTGTGTTATTCATTTTCTTCGTAGGGAGATGATAGTTCAGGGAAAGGACTCCGGCTCCATGACAAGAGTACATGCTTGTATGGAGAAGATCCCAGGTTCAGTCCCTGACATTCCCCTCCTATAGGGCTGGGGTAGATTCCCGGAAGCCACTGCCATCATTGTTAATAATACTGAGCTAGATGGACAAATGTTCGGATTCTGTATAACCCTGTATTCCTGGGTTATATTTTTGTGTGTTTTTAATGTTTGGTGTATTGTTAGATGCCAGAAGGGTCTTCATGGATGCAAAGTGAGGGCAAAATATGTTGATAAAATTAGTATATGCATCTCTTTATTTCCTTGCCTCTTCCCCAGGCTGTGGCAAATGAGTCTGGACTGAATTTCATATCTGTGAAAGGCCCTGAACTGTTGAATATGGTAAGTTCTGTTTGTTGTGCTCAGTTGTCACTGATTTGGGGTTTGCAGGGAACGTGAAGTGTTTTGATGCTGAGCCCAAATTGACTTTACCAAATTCATACTATTAGAATACGTTTTTACAGTGGTCCGTTAGAGCTGCTGGCCTGCAAGTGAAATAACAAATTGAATTTGGTAGTTTAATTCTAGCCTAATTCTATGCACCTCTAATGGTTTAGGGAGGGAGGATGCTTTCTGCATGCACTGTGGTTAGAGAGGGCTTGCTTGAAGCTCACAAAAGTTAAAATCTTAAGCGTCCTTCCCCAGCCTTGTGTTTCAGATGTTTTGAACTGCAACTTCCATCAGCTGCAGCTGGCATGGCTAAGATGACTGAAGCTGAGGGAAATTACAGCTCAAAATATCTAGAGGGCACCAGGTTGGAGAATACTGATCTTGAGGGTAAAGCAATATCTGAACAGGTCCTTTTGACAAGCCTGTTCAAATGATTGGGCATATGATACTTATCTTAAAGGTCTTACAGTGATTTCCCCTCCTTCCTCTGTCCTTTTCCAGTATGTGGGGGAAAGCGAACGTGCTGTACGTCAGGTTTTCCAGCGTGCAAGGAATTCGGCGCCTTGTGTCATATTCTTTGACGAAGTTGATGCTTTGTGTCCCCGGAGATCAGACCGTGAGGTGAGCCTAAAAACACTTCCACCAATAGCTTAGATCCACTGGAGGACTGAGGGAATATGTAAATAGGTGTCTTTTGTCAGATTTATTTGCTTTCACAATAATCCTATGAACTGGCTGTTATTCCTAGAAAAGAAATTAAGTAACCTGTTCAAACTGCCATAATTACTGTACTTTTCGCTCCATTGCACACAGTTTTCCCCCTCCAAAAACTGAGGGGAAATGTGTGTGCGTCCTATGGAGCAAATGCAGGCTTGTGCCATAGCCACGCGCAACCCCTCCGGCAGGAAGAGGCTGCACGGGGCTATGGCTTCTTTAGCTCCACGCAGCCTCTCCCGGCAGGGAGGGATTGCGCGGGGCTAAAGAGGAAGCCAAAGCAGCCAGCGGGATCCATCCCGCTCGCTGCCTTGGCTTGTGCCCTCCCTCCGGCAGGGAGAGGTTGTGCGCAGCCTGTACGCTGCTCTTTGGGGCTGGGGGGGGGAACATTTTTTTTATTGATTTCCCCGTCTAAAAACTAGGTGCGCCCTATGGTGTGAAAAATACAGTACTTTCAAGGCCTCAGGCCACATCACCTAAACCTAAACCAACCTGCACACTGATTCATTTATCCCCTGCTTTAAAGCTGTTAAGTTTTTAAATAGCAGCAACTTCCTTTATTTTCTCTTTGCCAAAGTAACATCCCAATGCAAATCCTATGGGAACCAAAGTTCCAGCCCAGTGGTCTTGCACAAGATGCAAAATATTCACCATAGTTAGTGACCTGAAGGCCTGAAAGTGTGATCCCGACCTGAGGGCTTCAACCAAAGACGCTCTTGTTTGTAAGACTTACCAGGTTCTCTGTAACATTGTGACTCTTTGCACCTGGAAGACAGCAGACCTCCAGGACATCCCTTTACCTCTACAAACTGCTGCCTCTGTGCCCCTCAGTCGGGAGTCATCTACCACCACCCCATCTCTTTTTCTCTGGGAAGTGGCAGGAATCATTCTATACATGGTACCTTCCGCAGCCATCTCAGTGTATTCTGAGGTCTGCAATTGCTTAGCACATTCAATCTCAAAGCAGGCTAACTTTAACCCACTGGTTTTGAAGCTCTGTTGTGTAAACTAACCATACTTACTGTAAACCCGATAAAAACAGCAATCTTCATTTAAGAGAAACAAAAAGGCTCATTTGTGAGGGGATGGGCTAACAATTTATTAGTTTACATGGGACAAACGAGAGCTTAAACTAGTGCTTAGTATTTTTTACTCCATCTTTCACTTGAAACAGCTCCCAGAACGTCTTACAGGTACCAGTAATAATATTAACAAGGCTATGAAAATCCTGGATGACCCTAGAATGTGGATGGTGGACTGTATCCTTACGACCTCCCCCCTGCCAAGTTTGACTGAAGGATGGGGCCACCCCTTTATGACATTGTGACTAGCTCAGTTCCCCTCAGCTGGTCAGCAGTGTGAGTCAGCTAAGATGCGCTGTCAGCATCAAGCAGTTTCTTTTTAACATCTTTTTGTCATCTTTTCAATTCACTGCATAGTCGGGTGCCAGTGTCCGTGTAGTGAACCAGTTGCTAACAGAGATGGATGGCCTGGAATCTCGTCGTCAGGTTTTCATTATGGCAGCCACCAACAGGCCAGGTAAGAATGGTTAAACAGTTGTAGCTCCACCTTAGGAGCCTTGTGTAGGTGTCTGTTCTGCCACTTGTACACGTGTCTGAAATCAGCAGCTTAAGTACGGCATATGTTAATTGGGTTGTTTTTATTTTGATTATATATGATTTTTATGTTGATCTTGTTCTGTGAGCTGCCCTGAGACCTCCGGGTATAGGGCAGTATATAAATTCAATAAATAAGAATAAGAATAAATAATAATAATGTACGTGGTTTATACACACAAACACAGGGAAATTGTGTGTGTGAAGCAGCAGTTATTTTAGGGATTTGAGAAGCAACACACTGTGTGCATTTGAATTTTGGTGCCTATACTTAAGAAGCTGGGATCTGAGCTATGGTCAACAGCTTTGGAACAAAGCCAACAGCTTAATATTGTGACTTGTTCCGAAACTATTAACCATAGTTTCCCAGTGTGGATGAAATGTGAAACCATAGTTAATGGAATGTTTCCTGGGTTGTTTGCTGGCTCACATAAAAAGACTGCATGTGCAGCCAGGAGGAAGGACTGGAGATTGCTTGACGTACCCATGGCCTCTCGGGTTGCTGGTGTACCTAATGAGCTCTCTGAGGTGAGGTGTCTCTAGGGAAGCTGTCCTAGGTTGTCGTCTCGAACCCAGATAATAGTCTGAGGGCAAGCTGATTTTATCTTTTCCCTCCTCTTCGATAGTCTGCACCGTTTCTTGCTGGTCCATTTGCTAAACAGGCAAGTTTTCTCAAAAGCCTGATGGTCTTTTCCAGTTGTCCCTGCTTTGCCAGAGAGGCGCAGGTCGTCTTCTTATTCCACGAAGAACCGTAAAAATGAAGTCAGCTCAAAGCAGAAATTCAATGATCTGATGGGATATAAAGAAAGTAATTTCATAGCTTATGCAGGTTTAACCTGGCAGCGGTGGCAAGGGAGCAACTCATTGGCTATACCTACAGCCTGTCTGCTGTGATTAACTCATGTGACCCAGTCAAGAAACCAGGATGTTCAAGGTCACAATATTCCCTAATATAAAATCTACCCTTTCCTCTTTTTGTTGGTGCAGAACAACCATTCCTAAATGGAATTAAATCAATTAAAATCCTCATGGGCATGAAAGGGGAAGGTAGGGGAGCAAACAAGTCCAAGGTTCACCATGAGTCTTATACCCTGGAGGGAATTGTTTCCTGTTACAACAGAACTGGGCCACTGTGTTTATGCCATATTAATCTTTACCAAGCTATGAGAGGACTCCTTTCAACATCTAGGATGGCGGAAATGAGTGGTCAGCCACCTGTGTCCTTCTTTTGACTTCAGGATTCTGAGTCATCAGATGTCTGCTACTAATCTAGAGTCCCTTTTTTTAGAGTTAACTGGGCCAGCTACCTAAAATAAACACACCACTTGCTTCTGGGTAATCAACATAATATGTGCATAAACCCATAATTTCACAGTAAAGAAGAGCTATGTAGTTGTGGTAAATGATGGCATTCCTTCTTTCTGGAGAGAAGGCACTTTGAGAAATGTAGTTTTCTGTTCTCAAAAGCTTCCTGTGGTCTGCCTTCTGGATGTGTCTTCCTTGTGTGCTTCCAGTTTTGAATCCAGAGTCTAAATAGGATTTTACCGTTTCTCCATCAGATATTCTAGATCCAGCTATTTTGCGCCCAGGAAGACTGGATAAAACACTCTACGTTGGTTTGCCACCACCTTTGGATCGCCTTGCCATTCTAAAGACTATTACTAAAGTAAGTGTGTGTGTGTGTGTGTGTGTGTGTTTGTTTAAAACGATGTCCTTGAAAGTTGTGTGAAACAAAGTAATTTCCCCTAGAGCTTTACCTTACTCAGAATCGTTAAACCTAAACTGAATGCACAAGAATAGCATTGTTCAACTGCTAAAAAAAGAAATAAATCTTTTAAGCTCCTTAGTCTAATTTCCAATATCTACTGCTCCTTAATCAATGATGCATGATCTGGTACAAGATTATGACATTTTTCATCTCATAACGTAGAGATGGGGAACCTATGACTCTTAAGATACTAATGAACCACAGTTCCCACTTATCCCTGACTATTGCCCATGTTGGCTTAGGCTGATAGGAGTTTGAATCCAACAACGTCTGGAGGATCACAGGTTCCCAAGAGATGCATTGCAAAAGCAGCACCATATCTCTCTCCCCCCCCCCCCCCGCCAATACATTTCATACCAGTTTGGAACAAATTTGGTTTCTAAACCTCCATTGATGCTTCTCAGCTGGTTGGATTCCCTCCTGCTGCCTCCTGTTCCTCAGCCCTTCATGGCTAACCAGCTCACATCTGATCAGGACACACTTGTGGCAAACCATATTTGGTATGCCACCTGGCGAAGCGACCAGTGCCCTCTTTGCTTTCCTTTTTTTTTTTTTAAGGCGTGCTTTATGCTAGGAGGTGGTACTGTGAGCCCAGATAGGCAACCATCAAGGTAACTTTGGAAATGATATAAATAATAAAATTTTCTCTATCGTAAACTTTTGCAAAATAGAGCTTCTCTCCCTTTTTCCTTTTTTTACACACACAGCTCCGTTTGATGTTATATTCCATACCTATAATCCAATTTCTTCCTTCCTCACTTGTTCAAATATAATGAGTTAGCATTCAGAGGAGGGTTGCTGAAACATAAATGTAGAGAAGAAAACTTTAAATAAAGAAACCGTAGGCTCCCCTCCCGACCCTGACTTTTGCATCAAATGAAGTCTTATCTCAAGTTCAATCCTTAAAGTCCTTGCAGTTGGTTTGCTCCACAGTTTGTGATCTTATCGCTTCTAGCATGTGCCTGTACTTTAGTCCAATTAAGCTCTAATTAACAGGAAAGCTTATATGCAGAATTCATCATGCGAAAGGCTGGGCTGGATGAATCCCAAGCCGGAATTAAGATCGCCGGAAGAAATATCAACAACCTCAGATATGCAGATGACACAACCTTGATGGCAGAAAGTGAGGAGGAATTAAAGAACCTTTTAATGAGGGTGAAAGAGGAGAGCGCAAAATATGGTCTGAAGCTCAACATCAAAAAAGCGAAGATCATGGCCACTGGTCCCATCACCTCCTGGCAAATAGAAGGGGAAGAAATGGAGGCAGTGAGAGATTTTATTTTTTTGGGCTCCATGATCACTGCAGATGGTGACAGCAGTCATGAAATTAAAAGACGCCTGCTCCTTGGGAGAAAGCCGATGGCACATCTAGACAACATCTTAAAAAGTAGAGACATCACCTTACCAACAAAGGTCCGTATAGTTAAAGCCATGGTTTTCCCAGTAGTGATGTATGGAAGTGAGAGCTGGACCATAAAGAAGGCTGATCGCCGAATAATTGATGCTTTTGAATTATGGTGCTGGAGGAGACTCTTGAGAGTCCCATGGACTGCAAGAAGATCAAACGCATCCATTCTTAAGGAAATCAGACCTGAGTGCTCACTGGAAGGACAGATCGTGAAGTTGAGGCTCCAATACGGCCACCTCATGAGAAGAGAAGACTCCCTGGAAAAGACCCTGATGTTGGGAAAGATGGAGGGCACAAGGAGAAGGGGGCGACAGAGGACGAGATGGTTGGATAGTGTTCTCGAAGCTACAAACATGAGCCTGACCAAACTGCGGGAGGTGGTGGAAGACAGGAGTGCCTGGCGTGCTCTGGTCCATGGGGTCACGAAGAGTCGGACACAACTAAACAACAACAACAAACAGGAAAGCCTCTGCTTTTTAATGGCGGCATTGGAGGGTTTTGGCCAGGTGAAGTGCTTTTACACACAGCGCCTCCCTGCCCCCTGCATTCTATGCCAGAGCAAGAGCCAGGTACAGAGATGAACTGCAAGTGAAGCCCGCCCCCTCACCTTGTCCCTGGGGGGGGGGGGATTTGCAAGGATAATTGCCCTCAATCATCCTTGTTTTTCCTTCGCCAACGATCTTCTGCTGTCATGGGGGCTGCCTCCATTAAGGCAGAGTGGAACCAGAAGCCCTGAACAACTTGTACTTTAAGGACCACCTTTGTCCTTATTTTCCAGAATGATCACTGAGATTATCCAGAAAAGCAGTGCCCAGCATTAAAGAGGCCTAACTGGCTTCAGCTAGAAGAGGATTTTGTATTGCCAGTCCCATGCTGTGGATGACTCGTTCAGCAGTCACATCCTTACTTTCAGCTTTCAGGTGTCTTCTACAGGCCCATGCAGTTATTTGAAATGTTCTAGATTAGACAGTCTTTTTTAATTATTATTTTTTGTGTTGTTTTTAATAGTTTTAATTGTTTTTATATTGCTGTACACCACCCTGATATTTTATGAGGGGTAGTAGGCAAATCCTTTTATAGATAATCATGTAGAAAAGTTATGCATGTTGACATGGAAGGATGTGCCTCCTGCTGGAAAACATCATCCCAGTTTCTCCCCACAAACTTCCACTGAAGGATTTAGCCCTGTTTAGCTCTGAAACTCTTTCAGCCTAACCTGCTTTACAAGGTTGCTGCGTAGATAAAATTGGTGGTGGAAAGATGGGGTTAAAAGATGATGAAATAACTCCTGGGAAAAATGGCAGTATAGCGCTGTCAGGTATAAATGGAACACCTTGCCCTTGTTGCTAAAACTTGAAGAGGTGAAGAACATCACCATTTGAAAATAATTTAAATTCAATTAAATATTGTGAAATGAAATGTTTAATCTGCAGTCTTGCATCACATGCTGATGTGTAAGAATGCGAGGCTAAAGGACTCCAGTAGATACTGTCTTTTGGAGTACTTTCAAGCACAGTCATACCTTGGGTTGAATACACTTCAAGTTGAGCGCGTTCGAGTTGCGCTCCACGGCAACCCGAAAGTAACGGAGCGCGTTACTTCCAGGTTTCGCCGCATGCGCAGATGCTCAAAATGAAGTCACGCGCATGCGCAGAAGTGGCAAAAAGGCGGCACGAGCGCAGACGTGCCATCACTAGTTATGTTTGCTTCTAGATGCGAACGGGGCTCCGGAACAGATCCCGTTCGTATCTAGAGGTACCACTGTAGTAAATTGTGGATTAAAAACGTAAACGTAAAGGACCCCTGACAGTTAAGTCGAGTCACAAACGACTCATCTCGCTTTACTGGCCGAGGGAGCCGACATTTGTCCGCAGACAGTTTTTCCGGGTCACGTGGCCAGTATGACTAAGCTGCTTCTGGCGAAACCAGAGCAGCGCACAGAAACACCGTTTACCTTCCCACCAGAGCGGTACCTATTTATCTACTTGCACTTTGACGTGCTTTCGAACTGCTAGGTGGGCAGGAGCAGGGACCGAGCAACGGGACCTCACCCCATCATGGGGCTTCGAACTGCTGACCTTCCACATGGTTCTGCTCTTGATTTTATCCTCATAATAACCCTGAGAGACTGAATTCAGTGGATTTCACAGCTACTAATGGTTAAGCTTGAGTTTTCATAGCATGTCCAAATGGAGCGAATTACTTCATGTGGCCATATTATCTCAACAGTTTGTGATCCGGACTCCTTTGATCGCTTCTTCTGTGGAAACTTGAAGAAAACAAATCTCTGATGCAATTTGTACTTGTGTGCAGGAACATTATGTGTTGTGCTAGCAACCCTATTAATTGCTTTTCTGTTCAAAATGCTCTCAAGTCGTAAGTGAAAAATGATTAAACACCACTTTGCAAGTAACTGAATTTGTTTAAACACAATGTGCACATATTTGTCCCTTTCAGAGCTGACACAATGAGTGTGTTTTGTGCGTTCTGTATCTGAGTACAGAATGGTGTTTTTTAAAGCAAGTTTTGGTTCTAGAACTGAGCCAAGTTTGACCTAGAGCCAAACTTAGACTGGTAGAGATTAATGAAATGTTTTCCTGGGAAAAAAGTGAAGGGATTGGGTTAATGAATGTGGGTGCTGCTCTTTAGCTCAGGTTGTGTTAAGGAAATTAGCAAAACTGCATACAAAGCTGGTTATTTGCAAGGTGGAGAAGACAATGCTTTTCTTGCTGTAAATGGAATAAAGCGTGTTTTGGCTTGTTCCTACATGTCTAAATGCAAGCTTGAAATTTAGTCATTGAAAAATGTTTCCCAGGCAGGCAATTTGCCAAACAATTTCTCAAGCTGCCTTTCTGATGCATAAGTATATAAGTAGTTGGTGCCTGGCTGGTAGAACTTGTTTGTGGACTGCCAATTTTTTCTTCCTTATTGAAAGTCTGGTGATTGTATTCTTCCCAGTGCTGTTAGGATTTTTAGCTGTTGCCTAAGCCAGTGCCCTTTATGTCTGCAAATTTAGATATGTCATGCATGTTGACAGAGGGCTCTTTGATCCAGCAGACGCTTCCTTCAGTGGGAAGGGAGACAATCTTCTTTTCCAATTCATACTACCCACTCCAGGAACCACATGCCACATTGTTCCACAAGTGTCCCACCCCCATGGATTCAGGGTCCGAAGAGGATGAAAGGATTTGCAAAACTTGCCTTCCTCCGTTACACAGCTTGATGGAGGCCTCCACTGGGTCAAAGTGCCTTCCATCAGCAGAGAAACGCTGCTGAATAAAATCCCATGCTTTCTCTGTTTTATGTGGAAACAACCAAGCAATGTTTCACATAGTTCTCTCTTTAGTCATGCCATGACCAGCGTTTTTTAAAACAACATTATAGACTTGTACTAGTACTTGGTACTGGCGTTTGTATTTTTTAAAACAACATTATAGACTTGTTAACTTCTTTGTGAGGCTTTTGATTAAGTGTTTTTCCTGTTGTATATTTCTTCTATAAAGTATTTTAAATCCTTGAGGACAGTGAGTAATATAAGAACCTCATAAAGCCTTGATGGCAAATAGCAACATCTTGCTGGCATTGAATCAAGAACCCCGGGTTAAGAAACGGTGAGTGCCCCAAGCCAGCCATGGGTGTTCCTAAGAAGCTTACTGAATAGTTTGTGTGATTGGTTAGTAGCTTGGAGGGAGGACTTGGGAAAGCCACTCCCTCCTTGACAGTTTGGTTTCTCCATTTGGCTGTTGGGAATCTTGCCAGGCCACACCCTTTGGCAGTCCTGATTTCCATCCTCCTTGTGTTTTCCCCCAGGTGTGATCATGCCTCTTTCTTGCCTGGGTGGAGGAGCATGGGATTGTGTGTTGAGACTAGCCTACCGTACAAACACAAAATTCACATTCATTTCTCTCTGCACTGTTCATCCTGCCCCCACCAACCACCTGCCGTATCCAACCCTGTCCCCAGAATGGAATAATGCAGTTCTTGGGCTGAAAAATGTACCCCATCCCTGCTGTAGGATGAAACAATTGCTAGGTGGGTGGTTGCAGTCGATGCCCTATGTCTCTAAACATTTCCCCGGTTGTCACCTTTTATAGGGTGGAACCCGACCCCCGCTTGACACTGATGTGGACCTTGAAGAAATTGCTAATAATCCCTGCTGTGATAGCTTTACGTAAGTAAATTTCTCTTTTTTATCTTCCATTGCTACTTGCAGGTAGCGTTGGTCCTTCTATGATACCGCCTTATCAGTAGTAGAAAATAAACACATCACTCCAAATCCTCATCTTCTTGCCTTTTTATCTCCATTAACACATCTGCCTAGACTAGTGTTCCAGATTTCTTTGAATCTTCTGCTTTATGACACTGAAATGCATTAGGTTCTGCATAGCAAAAACCTCTGTTCCTAGTTTATGTTTATTTTGAAAGCAAGTGTACTTCTGTAAAATGTGTCAAGGAGGGTTGCAGCATATGCTTACAGAATCTAAATTAACACATGTTAATCCCAGTTTGCCCCCAAAATATATAAAAAGAGCACATCTCAGACTAACCGGCACACCTTGCTGAATGGAAATAATTTTATTTAAATGTCTGTTCAATGACATTTTAATGCCCATATTCGTTCCGCTTCTGCTGTTACAACTCTCCTTTGGGATAAAGAATGCACCCTAAAATGACTCATTGGCCTTTTGTTGTTTGTCTTTATAGGGGAGCAGATCTTTCAGCTCTAGTGCGGGAGGCTTCTGTCTGTGCCCTGAAAGAGGAGATGGCAGTGCTGAATGCCACAGACAGGAAAGGTAAGGAAGAGGATATTAAACAGAAGAACTTGAAGAGAGAGCAAGTTGAAAGATTTTCTTTCTTCTTTTTTTGGATATAATTTCTTATTGAAACTTTTCATCATACAATACAATATAAGACAAACTAAATAAAATAATCTAACCAAAAGAGAGAGAGAACGGTAGATCTTAACCCTTGTCTCACAAAGAAGGTCTCCCCTTTTGGCGGCTCCATTACTGTCACTGTGTTTACTATTATGAGAGGGAGTGATAATATAGAACTCTGAATCCGGAATAATAATAATAATAATAATAATAATAATAATAATAATAATAATAATAATAATAATAATAATTTATTATTTATACCCCGCCCGTCTGGCTGAGTCTCCCCAGCCACTCTCGGCGGCTCCCAATCAAGTATTAAAAACAATACAGTGTTAAATATTAAAAACTTCCCTGAACAGGGCCTGTCAGATGTCTTTTAAAGATAGGATAGCTACTTATTTCCTTCACATCTGATGGCAGGGCGTCCCACAGGGTGGGCGCCACTACCGAGAAGGCCCTCTGTCTGGTTCCCTGTAACCTCACTTCTCGCAATGAGGGAACCGCCAGAAGGCCCTTGGTGCTGGATCTCAGTGTCCGGGCTGAACGATGGGGGTGGAGACGCTCCTTCAGGTATACAGGACCGAGGCCGTTTAGGGATAATCTCTACATGCCGACTCTTTTGGGATTCCCGTCTATACTGAATGACCAACTATGCTGAAGGGGTTAGCTGGGCGAGCAACTAGAGCCATTTGGCTCTATCCTTGTCTATACAGAAAGGCTGCTTCACACACAAGCAGCTGTAACAATTATTTCAAGTGGCAGTGTACGATCGAGCAGCGAATATTCTCTGCCCTTTCTTCTGCATGTGGTTAGAGGCTTTGTGAAATGAGACTGAGACACATCACAGCAATATCATTGTAGCCTTTGTTCACTGACTTTGTAGAGAAGCCAAGAATCAATGGCAGCTGTTGCTCTCACCTAAATGCTTTGTTTACACCAGGAATTTCCTTTCAAAATAATATGAAGATTTCAGGTTAAGGTTGCTTTAGAATATTTAAGCAGATTCAATATTTTTAAACTGGCAATCTTCAAAAATTTAAAACTACCATTTAGATTAGGTTAGTGAACTATCAGGAAGCAGGTGGGAGGGATTTTTTCCTTATTTCTGATTGGTGCTTGCCCAGAAATTTAGAATGAAGTCCTTCAGTGCTGATGCAAATATGTCAGATGTTATGCTGGGAGCTGAAACAAATAAAATGAATTATTGCATGTTTTTGGACTATTTTACGAGTCACCGCTTCCCTTTGTGATTTGCCAGAGTTTGATGAGGAACAGCCAGGTACAACTAATTTGTGTTAGTTTGGAATGTTCTACTACTCATGGAGCTTGTTCTGTTGTACCTTCCAAATTTGTGCTTTGATCTCCCTGTAGCCCGTGAAGTTGACAGTTCAGAGAAAATCCTTGCATACAGCAACGTACACAGAGTTTGTGGCTGGATGCATGGCTCCGGAGATGTAGACCATTAGTTAGTTACATAAACGTTTCAAGGCAGTAGGTTTACAAAACTGTTCTTCCTGTTAGCAGAATACTGGAATTGGACCATTCTTCATTTTAAAAACCTGTTTCTAAAGAAGACCTGGGCGGGCCAATTTACTTGGTGTTAGATACCAACGATACATCATTTTCATATAATTTTCTCTTCAACCATAACATGCTGTAAATTTTATATCCAAATTCCACAATTGTTCCCATGCTTCCATATCTATATAATGACCGATATCTATCGCCCAGTTTATCATTGTGGGAATCAGTCTCTAGGGAAGCTGTCCTAGGTTATCTTCTCAAATCCAGCTAATAGTCTGAGGGAAAGCTGATTCTATCTTCTCCCTCCTCCTTGATAGTCTGCGTCGTTTCTTGCTGGTTCATTTGCTGAACAGAGGCAAGTTCTCTCATGAGCCTGATAGTCTTTTCCAGTTGTTCCTGCTTTGCCAGAGAGGCGTGGGTCACCTTCTTATTCCACGAAGAACTGTAAAAATGATGTCAGATTTTGGGTGGGCTTCAACACTGCACTAAGGAGATTGTTCCTTTGGGCAAGCATTTCTCCTCACCTGGTGGGACAGTCTCCCCCTCCTCCCCCTGAATGCTTTTCTGGGGGTTCTCCAGACCCTCCAGAGTCAATCTGGGGGAGCCATGGGGGGAAGGGCAAGAATCCCCTTGTGCTAGCAGGAGCCATTATTCTGGCTCCTGTCAGAGGAGCAGGGTAGTTGAATCCAGCCCTTTGTTTATAAAAAAAATGTGCAATCTCTTTCTACTGTTGAGAGTAGGAAACTTAGGAGCCTTTTTATCCATTTGAGCAGAGCACTTGGAAGTGCCTAGAAGGCAAGTAGTGGGAAGCTCAATCTCTGGGCAATCTTCATTCTTAAGGGCGTTTGATGCTTTCATTATCCTCTTCCCAAAACTTATTTTGTTTATAGCCTTAAGTTTCATTTCTTTACAGTTCATTATGTATACTGTGGAAGCATGTTAACCTTCTCCTGTTGCACTGTATTGTTCGCAGGAGAACTCAAGATTGCCAGAAAACACTTCGAAGCAGCTTTCAAGAAAGTTAAATCTTCTGTATCGAGAAAGGTGAGAGGTGCTCTAGGCCAGCTGCTGACTTAAGCTGGGAGTGGCACAGAAGGCTAAGGATTGTGCAAAGGAATATGAGGCAACCAATTTCCCCTTCACTCTTGTCCAAACAAGCCTGATCTGGGGGGAAACCACGCATCTGCCTTGGTGTTAGTGGGAGGGAATCTTACTGGCACATGGAGAAGGAAGGCTCTGGACACTGCCTCCTCAGCGGCTGGGATCTTTAAAAAGCCAGTAAATTAGCCACTTTGCCTTTCCCTAGGTTTCTTTTGTAAATGCTGAAACACAATCTTTGCCACTAGATAAAAGTTTTCCTTGTGGTACAGTCGGCTCAAAAGCCTTACTGAATGAGTTTGTTTCTGTTTTTCCTCCCTTCACCGGCATCCTTAGGACCAAATAATGTATGAAGAGCTGCGCAAGTCACTGAGCAGGTGATAGCTGGATCATCCCTAACACCCAACATGTTGCTTAACCTGAGGACCTCTCCCAGTGGACTATTTTCCAGAAGCATCTTCATGGATTAGACTTAACCTTGGCTTTGCTTGCCTGCCAATCTCAACATTGCTGGACTCCGTTTCTGAGAGAAGTTCTATCACGTTGTATAGTAATTAACATTTGGCCACAACCTTTCAAACTGGTCTCCAGGATATGGCCAGAAGATACATGATGTGGCCATCCGGCTGAAGCTAAGCAGCCCTGGATCTGGTCAGAAACCCCATATATGCCATGGATTCTGTGATGGAAGAAAGTGCAAGATGTAAATGTTGTTTTAAAAATATGCCACTATGAGACATTTTTTAGTGTCCTGCCTGTAAACTGAACCGGTTAATACACAAAGAAGCAATAGCAAGTCAACCTACCGCATCAAGCCTAGCCCAGATAGCAAGGATGGGGGACCTGTGATGCTCTAGATGTTGGGGCTGTAGTTTCCATCAGCCCCAGAGAGCATGGCCAATTTCCAGGGATGGTGGGAGTTGTAATCCGACATTGGGCTGCAGGGTGGGCACAAGTTCTCTATCCCCGTCTTACCCCACAGACAGGAAAACAGCCAGGCTGGTAATAGGAGTAATGTTACCATGCCACCTACTACGCCCTTCCAAAAAAAAGTGGGCAGCAGGGCCCAGCTGAGGAGAGGGGAAATTATGCTGTTGGGCAAGCAGAAATGCTTTCACTGGCAGACAAATATCCTTAAAACTACATTGAAAACTTAAGGAAAAACAGCTTTTTCTCTGTGGGGAAGCTTCACGTTATTTAAAGAAGTCTGCTTGTTTGCTTTCAAAAATACCACATTCTTTCCCATACTAGTTTTATGTGTATTACTTAAAACAAGGGAATATTAGGAAAAATTGGGTGCAGTGGGCTGAAGAAGCAAGACTAAAGCCAAGCGCCTGTAGGATCTGTCATTTGATCCACCCATGACCAATCCAGACAATGCAAAGGAGATCCTCACAGCAGTGTACAAGGACTTTTAGATAGCAACCATTAATCAGCTGCATAGGTGTCCTAAGAACATGGCTTTATTATTGCAAAATCTTCTGCTTCCCACACATAGAAAGCACACAGACTTTGCTTTTCCATGTGGTCTGGTGTGAAAGTCAGATATGATTGGATTTTTTAAAAATGCATTTGTTTTCAAGCATCAGCAAAACAGTAAAACAAAAAAAGTTAATCGAGAATAAATAATACAGAGCTTGTATTACAGAGAAACAGCCATCTGTAATGTGTTCCTCAAAGAGGTTCAGTGTTCAGTTCAGGATGCATTTCCATAGATTACTGGGTGTTAAGGAATGCATCCATATTCCAATGTATTTGTGTACATAATAAAGCACATTTCATAAAAACTGCTCCCTTCTGCATTGCTTTAACTTTAGCTTAGGTTTTTTCATGATTGCTATATTCCATACATCCCAACTCACATCCTTCCAGTTTCTAGTATAATGCTAGCTGTTGTTAGCAGGAATGTTATAAATTCCTTATGTATTGGTGTTTTTAGTGCACCATCAGTTATCATTAGGGGCAGGTGTTGAGTTTGTTGAATAATTTGTTTAGAGATTGTATTTATTTCCTGGAAAATACCTTTGGTACTGCATGTTCTTCCTCTGTCTCCCTCCTCGGTTGCTTCCACCCGCCAATGCAACATTCCAAATCAGTTTCCTTTCTTTACTACCTTCTCAGTTGCTTCTGCTCATGTGGACCCTGGAAAGCACATAGAACTGGAAGAGGAAGTGTAAGGGGTGTGGCCAGTGGAGAGCCAGTGGTTCCCCACACATCTTTAGGGATTTGATTCCCCCTGACCAGGTATCCAAGTGGTGGTGTTCTGGTGTCTGTATCTTGGTTTGGGATGCCAGGATGGGAATAGGATTCTATTGGCTTACCATCCACCCCAGTAAGCAATTCTCTCTGCCTGAATTTATAGAGGCAATCACAGCTGTGGACTGAAGGAGTCCTAAGTGGGTTGTTCTCGGTGACAAAACATGCATGCCATGGTGGTCTTGTCTGCTGTGGCTCAGCAGTTTATGGCCTCCAAGCCAACCAAGGACGTCTCTCTGATTTTATCTTGGCCAGCACATGTATTGGGGTACACATTGGGCTTTAGGCCACATCTTCTGTTTTCAAATAGTGATTTGGGTGTGGAAGCCATATGTGACACTTGTCACGGACAGATTATAAATTTAACCTGCAATAGTAAAGTACCTGATTCAGTACTCTCCTCAAAAGCGGACGAAATCTGAATTCCAGATGGTGTTTGGGGAATTTCCTGCAGGACTGTCTGGCAATCCTGCTGGAGCTCTTGTTATTGTCTGGAATGAGGCAGGGAGCCAAGCTGGCACCACAACAGCTCCTAAGGATTTGGCACATTGTCAGTCGCTTAGTACTTGGAGGAGTGGGTATCAATGAATTGACAAGGTCAATGTGACTGAACATATAAAAGCCCATTGGTAGTCTTCATGTAGTGATGAAATCTTACTTCACACCACCACCAGTGGTGTGAAGTGGAGCTCCTGGATTTTTTTTAAAAAAACATTTTTTAAATTAATAATAATCATTAATAATAATCCAATATGAGCCACATTGATACAATACGAAATCATAATACAATTTTAAAAGGCAATTATTCAATTCCAGTTCCATAGAAACAGTATGCCATATGGTCCTGTTTGACGGATAATTTTCAGTTTGTGCAACACAAGGATGTGGTTAACCTGCTTCCTTGATTGATACGAAATTTAAAATATGAATGGGTCTTCTCTTGCCATATTAAATTGCCTTATTTTAAAATAATCTCATGAGCATCTCAATACTCTGCTAACCAAAAGCGAGCATGGACAGTAGCCTAAAATACTGGTTTCTCTTTTAATTTTTGACAGCACATCTTGCTAATCTAGTTTCTGTTTGAAGGTGTGATCTTAAAGTGGAAGGATGTGGGCTTAAGGCCTCCTTTCCCACATTCATTGAGAAACCTTATTGACACTAGGCCTTTAATAGCAATTATTCAAGAGCAGATTTACAAAACAATACCAAAAAGACTGCCGTGTTAAAGTCTTGGGGCCAAAATGAATTGTGATGCCTACTTTATTATTTCAACCTTGATCTCAAGAACATTGCACACATTTGTTAAATAAACTTCATTAATAACATCTTTATTCAAGTGTCCAAGAATTGTTTTTGAACAATAACTTTATTGTATTCCTTTGTAGGAGGTATTTAACATTCACACAGTCGATGTTCTATACCTTTTATAAACTTGCTACCTGCTGTCAACATCTGACACTCCAGCTCTTGCCCCAGCTAAGAGAGCACAAGATGGTTACTGGGACACACGTAGGCTCCACTACTGTGGCCACTATTCTGTTTCTAAACTTCAAGAGTTCTAGTCTGTTTCCAAAGAAGCATTAATTTGATGGCAGGGCATAGCTCTTATGTACAGATGCATTAAAAAAGGAATGCAGATGTTTTCTGGGAAATGGGCCTGCTGCAGGAGATCATATCCATGATAATCATATCCATGTGTTTTGAAATTACACAAACACTAGCCTTATTCACCGGGTATATACTTTACAGCAACAGTTGTAAATCCATCAATTAGGTTAGCACTTGGATTGAGCAAGACATAACTCAATATAGGAGGAGTTGTAGCCAGCCATTTTGGTCAGCTACTACAATAATTAAAACAATTCTGGGGTATTAAAAGAAGTTAATTTGGAAGGTTTGTCAGCAAAGGCTAGTGTCTTGGGCAGCAAGTGTAAAAAACTGAACAAGTACATATGCTGCATGTAAGATAAAATGCTTACAATAACAAACCAATGTTCAAGTCAACAGCTACTAAAACACATCATGAAAGATAGTTATATGGCAAAAGAACACGAGAACGTTTAGTTTTAGAGATCCTGTTCTAGATTGTACTCATATATTCATAGTTCAAACCAGATCAAGATACAAAGCAAATTCATCTTGATCAAACAAAACCTTCCACCAGCTACTAGGCTGTTTTTGGTGTTTACGGAAGTGGGGCTTTTTTCACTCCAGTATCACTTCACCTTTTAAATGCCTTTTCACTCGCGAATAGGGGCTGATAGTGTCATCCATCACAAAGTCATAAAGCACTTTTGTCCAGGAGTTATACTGTGGCAGATGATCATAGTATTCAGAGGCCATTTTCTTCAGCTATAATGAATGAAAGAAAGAAAGAAATTAAAGTTTGTCAGCAGAATATTAAATAGCCAGTGTTGTGGTGAGTAATCTCATCTCAGAATTAGGAACTAATTGTATGTATGTCTACGCACAGAACTACACCATCTGCTCCCTTATATCCTGGCCTGATCACTGAAATCTTCGATGCTTCCCCATGGCACAGATGCACAGCCCCTATTATTAGCCATGCATTTAGTGTAGTGGGCCCAAGTCTGGGAATTACACCCCAGCTGCGATTATTGTTCCATTTTCTGTGGATTGTTTTTAATTGCACTGTTTAGAAATGCAAATACTTCAGCAGTATATAAGTGTTTTAAAGTAAAATAAACACAATATTTTGAATTGTACAATGATTAATCCTCTTGAACTTTAAAAGGTCTAAATTAGAGATTGGGATCCTGTGGCCTTCTGGATGTTAATGCAACTCCCATCATCCCTAATCATTAGCCATGCTTGCTGAGGCAGATATGAATTGCACTCCAACATCTAGGGGATATATCACCTGTATCGGGAAGTGTGCCGGTCATACAAGTAAATACCCAGCATTCACTCAGTATGCAACTTCCTAATCAGACAACAGGTACACAAAGGATGCTGCCTCTGAGGAGGAACAGGGCACTGACAGCCACTGACCCTGTTTTCTAGAAACAATGGCTTAGGTCCCAAGGTAAGCTCATGGGATGCAGATTTTCTACCCACTCCTCCACACACCCTAAAGGCTTTTCAGGTCTGAACTATGAATATATGAGTACAATCTAGAACGGGATCTCTGGAACATTGTCATACTCCGTTGGCATAGCTAGTTAATGTTTTATAATGTGTTTTAGAAGCTGTTTACTTGCACATTGGTCAGGAATGCCTCTTGAACAATGTGGAATGGAAAACATTATCTACAGAGATGAAGCAATGCTAATTGGTATGTGCAGGAGCTACAATTGCTACCTTTTTAATGTCTGATGTTTTAGTATGTTTTTCTACAGGGTGAGTCCTTTAAAAGAGGCCCCGTGGATACAGAGTGCACATGTTCCACGGGGCCTCTTTTAAAAGACTCACCCTGTATATACTGTAAGCCGCCCAGAGTAGCTGGGGAAACCCAGCCAGATGGGTAGGGTATAAATAATAGTAGATCCCTAAAGCTCCACAAAGATGAAGCTCTATTGAATTGAAGGCAACTTTCTTGCAGAAGTCTACAAAAAACAATGGCAACCCAGCACTGAATTGTGGCAATTAGCAAGGAAAACAACTAGTTTACCCCACATAGGAGCAAATTTAAAATTTGGAGACATAGAGTGTAGTCTTAATGTATATTCCCACCTTCATCGGCAAATCACGGCACGGAAGTGGAATAATATCAATCCATTCAATTATAAGGGAGTTGCTTCACTCCAGCAAAGTAGCTAGTTGGACACTATAATGTACTCACCAGTGGAAGATTTTTTCCAGGAACATTAGGGAAGTCATGGTGTTCATTATGGTAGCCAACATTGAACGTAAGCTTATTAAGCGGACCATAGTAGGAATATGTTTCATATCCCTTTAAAAACATGTAATGTTCGGCTATGAAGTGTCCTGAAATAGGGTGCAAGCCTAGCCCAAGCAGAGATCCTGTTATCAGGTAGACAAGTGCTTTTACTCCAAAGACATAGTATACCATAACATCGAAGAGAAACTGAATTGACAAATTCATTATTTCAAGTCGAGAGATTGGTTTGGGATTAATAAAAAGAGGCCGAATAACAAAGAGGAAGTGCTGAAAAATAACCCAAAGGAACTTTCGAAAACGAGTACAGAAAAACCATCCTTCAATGGGAAGAGGAATGTCCACATCAACTCCTTCACCGCCAAGATAACGATGGTGATCCATGTGATATCTCTTGAAGGATACAGAGTATGGGATGCCAAATACAAGATTGGCAAACATTCCAAACCATCGATTCCACAGAGGTTTACAATTGCCAAAGGCACTGTTGTGGGCAATCTCATGAATAGCCAGAGTCATAGAATGATCAAGACAACTGCCAAACACATATGACCAAAATATAACCCATTTCCACTCCAAATCTTTAACTAGGTAAAGAGCAACTAGCTGTGCAAGCACCATCAGTGTAACTATCCAGATCAAGTTGTAGTCTGGTTTCATCAAAGTTTTTATTTCTGGGTGTTTACCTGTTGGGAGAAAAAGAGAGATAAAGTTTCAAATAACTGCTGTCAATAGACCATGCTCTTTGAAGATCATGCCACAATCATTTGGATTCTACATTCTATACAAGCCTATATACATGTTAAAAGTTTGAATACATACAGGATGCTTTAGTACAACTCTGCAGTCTAATGTAAAATCCACATGAATGAAGTACAGGCACAACAACAGCATCAATGCCATAATGGTTCAGGCGAAGTTAGGGGATGGAATCAGCCTTAGTTGCCCTGACAGAGGTCCGTATTTGGGAGATAGACAAGGGGACTGCGACCCTGTTGATCTTGCAGTGACTTTTGATACGATCAGCCATGCTGTTCTCTTGGATCATCTTCATGAGCTGGGGCACAATTCCACATTGGTTCCACTCATTACAGAGCAGGATTCAGAGAATGGCATTAGGAGATTATAGGTGTGTCCACCACAAGCCATTGTGTCACAGGACAACTTTTGTCCCCAGTACTATTTAAGATCTACATTAAGCTATTGGGAGTGGTCATTAAGACTGCATGCTGATGACATGCAGTTCTATTTCTCAGTTACAACCAAATCAGAAGAGGTTTTGATATTTCTGGATGGTGGTGGGCTGAGTGACAAACCAACTGAAATTGAATTTGTGGGTAAGTTCCTTCCAGGTATGGGATCTTGAGAAATTACCAGTTCTGGAGAGAGTTGCACACCCTCTGAAAGAAGAGGTAGATAGTTTGGGATGTTCTTAGATTCATCTGTCAGTGGAGACTCAGATAGCCTCCATGACAAGAAGCAGTTACACTAATTATGCTCTTTCCTGGAGAAGGACATCTTGATCACCACTCATAACTAGATTACTGTAACATGCTCTGTGTGAGGCTCTTTTTGAGACAGGTCCAGAACGCAGTAAATATGCAGTCAGTTAAGTTACATGTTGACATCTACTTCACTAAGGAGCTATATGCAAGAACAGATATTTTTAAAATATAGTTTTGAGACTGTAACCAAGATGCGACTTATTGGAGGAACTGAACATGGAAGAAAGGGTTAATTTCCTTCATGGCATAAATCACCCCATAAGCCAAGATGTGCATGGTCAGACAAGCCAGTTGCACTGTCTATATAAATGATTAAGGCATGTCAGTTTATTAGTCAGTCAGTGAGTCTGTGAGTCAGAGTCTGTGTTATGTCTTGAATGGCTGAAGCAGCAGAAATACTTCTTAATTGTAGCTGTAAAGCCTGAAAACTGTATGTATAGATCAACATCCAGAACTGTATTACTGAGGCCTTATCATTTGTAGCAGTGAACTATTTTGGGCCTTATGCTGCCAGTGGTGACTGGAACAGTGTGCGGGCAATTTCCCCTAACGTGACTTTGTGATAAAATTATTTACTCCTGTCCACTGAGATTTTAATAATTCAGATCAAGAGTAGTAGCACTGAAATCCATGCTATCTATTCCCATGATTTCACTAAGCTTCATTTTCAGCAAGCTGCCTTTGACTAAGAACATGAACAAATATGGCATCAGATATGCAGACTTCCCACAGACCTAACTTTTACATGAAAGTCAGCATGGTCGACTAAGCAGACTAAACTGAATTTGTATACTCAGTTGCTTATTAGGTTTGTACATCAGATTTCTGAATTTATTTCGAAACAGATAAATGGAAAGAGACATGTGTAATTGGGAATGGCATTTGTCAGCATAAAACTTGATCTTTGTCTCCTACCGATGCTTCTCAGCAGCCACAAGGACTAGAAGCATGCTGTTAACTAAAAGCTCAGGGCCACTCCGCTCTTCTAGCACCTCACCTGCTCACTAAGAGCATCAAACGTCTTAGCATGTGAAAAAAAGATGCCTCTAGGATCAACTTCAAAGCTGAGCTTCCAAATACAGCTACAGGGTCTCCCCACACTTCCACTTCACCAAGAAACTGGTGGTGGCTGGGCAACTTCAACCACTCAGCCAATTTCTGTCGCTCATAAGATAAAATGACACTTTGCATTGCAGGGGTTTGGGCTAGATTATCCTTGGCGACCCCTTCTAACTCTCCAATCCTATGAGTCTATGATACTACACCTGTGGCAGCTTGTTGGCACACCATTTTGAAGTGTGCCCAACACACCAGCCTACACCCGTCCCTCGCTTCAGAGAGATCCTCCTGGAAATCTAGTTGCTGACCAAGGAACTAAGAGCCATAGGAGCCAACTCCTAGGGGCTGAGAGGAGGTCCCTTTGCCCCCCCCCATAAAATATTTGAGAGTCCGTCCCCCCAAGTTGACAACAAACCCTAAGTATTGGATTCTTTTGCCCCATCTTTTTGTGCCTGCCAAATAGCCGTGTCATGCTTTTGATATTTTATTCTCTTGTTAATTATGCTGCTTTAAATGTGCATTTTATATTTGACTTCACTTAGCAATGGTTTTTTTTGAAATGTTTTTTGTTAACTTAGTTTGTGTTAAATATGTATTCTGTAATTGACCTCCTTTGTAATGTTTTATTTTGAAATCTTTAAGATAATATTTTAGTTTTTTGATAATTATATTGCTTTGGCTGTATACTGTACTCCATATTTGATTTTCCTCAGATTGTCTTATTGATGTTTTAATATTCCGTAAACCACTTTGAGATTTTTCTTAAAAATATAAAACGATATAGATATGAAAGAAGAAGAAGAAGAAGAAGAAGAAGAAGAAGAAGAAGAAGAAGAAGAAGTTGTTGATGGACACTGCCATTCAAATAGTGTGCCCTATGCACAGCTGTCAACTTTTCCCTTTTCTTGCGAGGAATCCTATTCGGAATAAGGGAATTCCCCTTTAAAAAAAAGGGAAACGTTGACAGCTATGGCCCTATGTGGGCGGGCCTCTCCCCCCCCCCCAAAAAAATTTATTTTATTCAAGTTGGCACTCTTACTAAGAGCCCGGCTGTATGACACAGTAAAAGCAAACGTCGCCCCTTCCACCCTCAGCAGGGAGGGTATGTTACTTCAGCCATTTTGTCCAGGGTATACTGGCAGCGCTTATGTGTGGACAATTCCTGGTCGGAGGGAGAAGGGAACTCGAGAGCGCCTTCGCCAAGCGAGGCATCGTGTGGGGCGAGACCCCCAAAGGGGAGCGTGGAGGGCCTGAAGGCGCGCGCTTACTCAGGATCTCCTTGCGCCGGTCCGCGTGCGGCTGGTCCGTATAAACCCACTCGAAATCCTCTCGAGCCACAGCGTTGCCCATGACTCTTTCCTCGCCGGCGGCGCCGTTTCCACACACTCGCGCCCGCTGCTGCTCGCCCGGTAGGGATGGATGGTTTCCCGCCCACCGACCCCACGTCCCAAAAACCATTGGCTATAGGGAACGGTGACGTCACAGAAGCCCATTAGCGGCCCTGCCTGGAGGCAATGGGAGTTTTAAGATGTGCCGGCTTCTTGCCCTCGTCGCCTTGGCTATCATTTTTCCGCCTCCCCGGCAAAAAATGTTGGGGTGGCTTCATTTCGAAAGAGTTGATATTTTTGAGCTGCATAATATTAGGTGTCTTTTCTTATAGTTTTTATTAAATTTTACAGTTTTATATTCAAAACGAAACATCATTATCACACAAAGCATATATGAATCCAAATCCCCCACCCTCCCGTGACGTACCTCACACTATTAGGTGTCTTTTCAATTATTAGGTGTTAAATTACGTTAGCAGTATTCACATTTAAAAAAAAAAAACTATTAGGAATTTCAACATAACATTTTATCAAAAATACATCATCCTCATTTCCCTCCCCAAAAAAGGAAAAAACCACCCCAGACTTCCCTCAGCTCCTCTCTCTGGTTTCTCAGCACATGTTATTTTCTGCATATTATAAAGTTTTAAAAATCCTTAATTTATCAATATGTTACCAATAAAAAAATTGTTTATTCAAAACCTGCCAAGGAGTCCAGTTCATTTTGTTGTTTCTTTAAGTACTTTGTAAAAGGTTTCCATACTTCTTTAAAATCACAGTTGTCCTTATCATGTAGTTTGTGTGTCAATTTTGCCAATTCCACATAGTCCATCAGTTTCTCTTGCCACAATTCTTTAGTCGGGATTTCCTCATTCTTCCATCCTTGTGCTATTAAGACTCTTGCCGTTGTCGCATACATAAATATATTTTTGAATTTCCTTGGCAGGTCTTTTCCTACAATCCCTAACAAAAATGCTTCAGGTTTTTTTACAAATGTTAATTGGAACATTTTCTTCAGCTCGTTGTATATCATTCCCCCCCCCAAATTAATCTTACTACAGTCCCACCACATAGGGTAGAAAGTCCCTTCTTTTTCCTTGCATTTCCAGCATATATTTGAAGCAGTTTTATACATCCTTCCTATCTGCACTGGTGTTATATACCATCTATACATCATTTTCATGTAATTTTCTTTCACCAAAGAACAATCTGTAAATTTTAAATCGGTTTTCCACAACCTTTCCCAGTCTTCCAACATAATATTATGACCTATATCTTGTGCCCAGCAGTATTCACAATTATTATGCCATACCATGAACTGTCATTAACATGATACTGTACAAATTGTAATTAGTAATATTATTTTTTAACGGCGACGTAGGGTTGAAGAAGCACAGAGAGAGGGTGCTGGTTCAGTCAGAAAAGTGGGAGCACATGACAAGAGGCCTGGCTGAGTTTCAGAGGAAAGTGACCCTTGCTTTTACTTCTTCCCTGCCTTAGTTTTCATACTTCCAAAAGTCTTCGCCACACTTAAGAACTGCTCCTCACATTTCCTTTTGCATAGCTGCCTCATTTTTGCTGCTTCAGCACTACTCAAGTTGCATGCACAAAAAAGTAAACATTTCCTACAAGAGACACAAAACTTTTTGTCAGGGGCTCAGGAGCAGAGGCCCAGGGGAGAGAGGAAATGGAGAGCGAAGGGGAAGAATCTGAGGGCAGCGGAGGGCAGAATGACAGTGACCCGAGAGATTCCATGAGCCTCTCCAGTAAATCAGAAGATTCCCAGAAGGGAGCGCCGATAGCCAGGGCGAGGGGGGTCCCAGGGAGGACACACCAGAAGCAGGGGGCCAGCGGAGACTCCCAGAGCAGTAGCTGGAAATCAGGGCCAGCTTCCCCACCGGAGCGTAGTGGGGGGGAAGTTTCATAGGTCAGAGTCAGCCTCTCCTCCGGCAAGCAGCGACAGAAGCAGAAGGAAGGTGGCAGGCTGGGCGCGCGCACCAAGTTCAAATGTACAGGCGCGCGGGACAGCAGAAAGCCAGGATTGGGAACCAGGTCCTAAAGCCCGCCGGAGGGAGGGGGAAGACTCGGGGGAGTCAGCGTCAGAAGAATCCAGAAAGGGGAAAACCCCGGCGGACAGGCGGACCCAGAGGAAAAGGGAGCAGAGGAAGAGGTGGAGCAAGGCTAGGGTCTTAAACTGGTGTCTGGGGGGAGGAGACTCAGACGGAGCTTCGACGGTCTAGAGTTACAGACGTAGGGCTGCGCGCCACGGCTGTAAAACCAACAATGAACTTCAATAAAGAGATACTGGCGTTGGTCCTTTGTGAGCTGGGACCTGAGGCAGCTCTGACACTCTTGATTCCTGAATATGCTAAAGGTATCCAATATTAGAAGTGCTGGGGAAGGCAGCAGTATTTTTTATTTTTATTTTTATGAGTATGGGCTTGGGACCTTCTCTTGTCATGTGGCTTTGAAGATGAGCTCTGAAGGAAGTGTGTCCTTGGGACTGACTTATCTTGCAACTGCAGCATTGAGTTATCAGAAACCTTGAATCAGCGCAATTCATCTAGCCCAATTCTGTACATGCTTACTTGCACATAAGTTCCACTGAAAGCAATGGGGATTCCAAGTAAGCGTGCACAAAATCAGAGCCCCTGGTCAGTGAACTTTGTGAGGATTTTCGAAGAATATATTCCTATATTGCAACAAAGCAGATTGATATAGAGTACAGTGGTACCTCGGGTTAAGAACTTAATTCGTTCTGGAGGTCTGTTCTTAACCTGAAACTGTTCTTAACCTGAAACTGTTCTTAACCTGAAGCACCACTTTAGCTAATGGGGCCTCCTGATGCTGCTGCGCCGCCGCTGCATGATTTCTGTTCTCATCCTGAAGCAAAGTTCTTAACCCGAGATACTATTTCTGGGTTAGTGGAGTCTGTAACCTGAAGCGTATGCAACCTGAAGCGTATGTAACCCGAGGTACCACTGTACAGGAATGCACTTGCTATCCTTTTTCCTGTGCCAGAGGTGCTGGGGCAGCATGAAAATGGGTACCATATTAAGGGAAGGACACAGAAAGGGCTGCATTGAGGGTATGAGCAGAGGTGGATTCAGTAGGCAGAGAGCCTGGGGGCAGGGTTAGCCATAGTATTTCCTCTACTGTCCTAATACCTCTCTCACCATTCAACTTGACTATCCCTATTCTTCTCTTGACCTCCCCTGCCCACCGCCACACCACATTCCTCTATTTACTTTTTCCAAGTTCTGCCAATTCTTCATGGCCTTTCTAAATTCTATTGAAATATAAGCCCATTAGCTGTTCCATACATCTTTCATTTTCACTAAGTGCAGATGTAAGCATAAAGCTTTGGATTGAGAGTAAAAGCCCATGACTAGGCTTCCATATGCATTAGGCATTTACTTTTCTACCTCAACATAACTTGCATTACTCATACCTTGCTGGTAAAGCTTGGCTCTGTTGCCTGTGTAAAACGCATTCAGTAAAAAAGAGGCAGTAATAGATCACAAGTGTGACCTGCATCAAAATTCTGCAGTGTATACTCATAGCTAGCTCATCAACCATGTCTTCTCCCAGGATACTAAAAACAAGTATTAGGGAAACGTCTGGCTCATGGGCATAATCACACCTGCCAGGACTCCCCATTTAACATCTCTCCATTTGCAGGAGAAAAAAACAGTATGGAAGCAGCTGGAGGGACTGCCTCATGATTTCAATTTTCTCTATACCCCTTGGCACGGGGACATTCCCAGGGGAACTGAAGGAAGCAGTGGTGTGCCCGCTCTTAAAGAAAACTTCACTAGATCCTTTAGACCTATCCAATTACCGCCCAGTTTCAAATCTTCCATATCTGGGTAAGGTGATTGGGAGAGCGGTTGCTGAACAGCTTGGTAGGTTTCTGGAGGAAACATCGGCTTTAGATCCATTTCAGTCTAGGTTCCATCCTGCTTTTGGGACCAAGACAGCCCTGGTTGCCCTAACAGATGATCTCCGTAGACAACTGGATCGAGGCGGGTCAGGACTGCTGATCCTTTTAGATTTGTCAGCAGCCTTTGACATGGTCGATCATGATCTTCTGGACCACCGCCTCGCCGATGTGGGGATACAGGGCATAGCCCGTAAATGGCTGTGCTCTTTTATCTCTGGTCGGGGACAGAGGGTGGCACTAGGGAGGGAGATGTTGTAGCGCCACTCCTTGGTGTGTGGAGTGCCGCAGAGCGCAATCCTCTCCCCAATGCTTTTTAACATCTTTATGCGCCCCCTTGCCCAGATTATCCGGAGCTTTGGGCTGGGCTGTCACCAATATGCTGATGACACTCAGCTCTATCTGCTGATGGATGGCCACACCGACTCACCCCCGGACACACTGACCAGATGGTTGGAAGCTGTGGCTAGATGGTTTCGTGGGAGCCGATTGAAACTAAATCCTTCGAAGACGGAGGTCCTATGGCTGGGTCGGGATGGCATGGGGATGAGGGACCAGCTCCCTTCTCTTGTGGGGGCCCAATTAGTGCCATTGCCTTTCATTAAGAGTTTGGGTGTAATCCTTGACGCCTCCCTTTCCACGGAGGCGCAGGTTACAGCAACAGCTAAGGCGACATTTTTCCACCTTTGCTGCATCAAGCAGTTCGCTCCTTACCTTTCCCACACCGACCTGGCCACAGTGATCCATGCGATGGTCACCTCCAGGCTTGACTACTGTAATTCACTCTACGCAGGGCTGCCCTTGAAGCTGTCCCAGAAACTCCAGTGGCTGCAGAATGCTGCAGCGAGGCTCCTCACGGGGTTTCTGCCGTGGGAGCATATTCACCCAGTGCTTTTCAAACTGCACTGGCTCCCGGTAGAGTACAGGGTCAGATTTAAGGTGCTGGTTTTGACTTTTAAAGCCCTTCATGGCCTAGGACCCTCGTACCTACGGGACTGCCTCTCCTGGTATGCCCCACGGAGAGCCTCAAGGTCCATAAATAGCAACACCCTAGTGGTCCCGAGCCCTAAGGAAGTTAGATTAGCTTCAACCAGAGCCAGGGCCTTTTCAACACTGGCTCCGGCCTGGTGGAATGCTCTGCCTCATGAGACCAGGGCCCTGCAGGATCTGAT